GGTGAAATTTTCCTGACATTGATGGGTCACCTTGCAGCTGTTTTTTCCTTTTCCTTTTCCGCATAACAGTGCTGTGGAGGGAAGCATCTACATGGACTGTATTTGTTGCCATCGTTACACTTCCACAAATCGACCAAATGGACACCGCTTCAGCTTGCCTCACTGGACTATCTTATGCCTAGTGGGCCTGCAGCTAGCAGATGGGGCGAACCAGGGACCTGATTGTCTCGACAGTGCAGTCGAATGCCTTTGGCCTGGAAGAGATCCGCCGGCAGACAACAGCGCCCCGATGTCGTGGTTATTGCCAGTTTTCTGCTCAGCAGTCGGTTTATTTGTCACCTGGGTATTGCGAACATGTTGGAATTTTTTACCGACAGCAGCCACCAGAGATGAAGTCAATTATGCCAGATTTGGGGCAGCACTCGAACATCTCAACAGTGAGAACAATGTGTTGAGGCAGGAAGTGGGTGCCTTGAATAGTGCACTTTCTGAACTTTCCTCTGTTGTTGGAAGGCTCAGGGATGACCTCGATGGTGTTACAGCAGATCACGACCGTTTGGCCGAGCAGGTTGGATGGCAGCACGTCGGGATCGTACGCCTTGGAGGCTTTAACCCCTACCAGAGCTTATCAATCCAGCAGAGACAACAGGTTTTCGCTCGAGAAAGACGAAACATGATGGCCTACCGTTCGACGGGCCCGAGCGGGTTTATGACGACGGTTCTTCACCAAGACAGGTTGTTGAGCTTGCAAAGTGACTTCAATGTAGTTGGCGGAGTTGGCGCGAGGTTGGACTACCCAAGGGGGGAGGCGAGTGCAGACACCCATCCCCTCATCGAGTTTAACGATGTAGGGGACGGGTCCTCATTGCCTCAAGATGTTCTTTGGGCGATCGCACGCAACAAACTACAGATAGAGCTGTACAACTGCCTGGTGGGGGAAGACTTTGTCAGGGCGCGCTTGTTCCAGCAGGCACTGCTATTCTTCATAGACGTCTCCCATCAAGGTAGACTTCTAAATCGACATGATCAAGTTCGTCTATTTACATACCTGGGGAACCACCTCGAGAGCATGTCTGATGGGCTCCGGGGAGAAGATGAAGCTCGAGCCAACTACTACCGAGACCTAGCTGGAAGGTTTCGTAGGGTGGCATCAGTGCACTGAACCTGAAGGTCATGGGGGACGCGGTCAAAGATCACTGTGATCCTGTTTGTCGACATTACATTGACCAGAGCGAACAGCTGAGGATTCCCGGTCTTGTCGCGTTGCAAAGCTGTAATGTAAGCTGTTTTAGTGTTTAGGGAATAGTTTCGGTTGTATGTGTCAAGAACGGGCGTAAAGTAGCATATGCCTATCTGTTTTTTGAAACCCCACGTTTGTTGACCAGCTTTGTATTCAACAGTTTTTGATTGGTGACAGGCGATTCAGTGTCACACTGTAACTCAAGGATACCCCGCATTTCGGAGTGGCCCTGGGGTAACGTTTGGCACATCATCACCCTTTTCTCTCCTACCAAATCGTGGGCTCACAGCTCTAGGCGTTGCGAAGGTCAGGACCAAGCTCGAGAAAGTCGTTTCACCATGCTGACGCCCAGGGAGAACCTGGACGTTGACAGCGAAGATTCGGAACCCACACCCCACAGACACTCGGGTTTCAGGGTCGCGGCAGAGGACGGACTCCAATTGTCGCAGTTCCTCACCAGAATCTCAAACAAGAGGTCGAGCGAGGTTCGAGTTTACTCTTTTCAATCGAGAAAACCACTCCCGATGACCACGAAGATGGGTGACCTTCCTTTGAAGATGTCAATACAAATCTGGTCAGAGGATTTGGCAGGAGCCATCGAAGGAGGCCTGAAATCCTGCCATGTGAAGAGCATCGACAAGGACGATACGAAGGACTACAAAGTGTTCTTCATCAGGCACATCTCCGCCTGGGAATTTTTTTGACAGTTGTGAGACAGACCGAGCTCAACAAGATCGTCGAATTCAACAACTCTCTGACGAGGTGAAAGTTCTTCGCACCAGGTTGGAAAACTTGGAAAGGGCACAAGGCACTCGCTGAGCAAAAGGGTTGCCCATGATTTGAGGGAAGTCCTTTTCCCTGCAACGCTGCTCCGACGGGTGACTGTCCCAAATTTCAGTGGACTACGTATGAACTACGTCTTCCTGCTTTAGCGTTTAACGTTACATCGAACTATCTTACAATTGGACGATTGCGTGTACAATTGAGTGTGGCATCGTTACAGCAAGATGGCGGTTTCGAACGTCGGTTAGCTTTTCATTTACAGATGTGCAGTGCAGCGAGGTTTGTCCCAGCGGTATGTCCAAATTCAAGGAAACCTCCCAGAGAGCTTCGCTGGAAGACCGACCCGGAAAGGCAGCTCAAGGGCTTGAGGCATCATCTGGAGGAAGGCACCGGTGGCGTTCCGCTGGAACAGTCTGGAGTCAGCCGGAGGACGTGGTACTGGTTACCTTATTTTGTCTATCCGGTCTTGGACTAGATGAGGAACCTCACTTTGGACCATCTTCTTCTGAAACTTGTTACGAATGTGAGCGTTTCTTCTGCCCCTGTGGTGTCCAAGTTGTTGATGGGTTCGGCAGGGGTTACGAAGTTTGGTTTGCACCCTACGCCTGAAGGACCCTTCCGCGAAGGGAACGATCTTTCAGCTGTACGCTACAAATCTATATTGCGAAGCACTGTGGCTCGATCTATTTGCATTTTCCATATATGGGCTCGAACAGATCAAGGCGCGTCGCGTCAGAGTTAAGTCGAGATTTTCCACGGAAACGCAATACCACAGTGTTCGGACAGCGGTACATCGAGATCAGTTTTTATTCTGCGAGATCCTCGACCTCCCTGGGTACAGTTTTTGTGATGAACATGTTAATTTTGATGCAAATGCAGTTTTTCCGACCGACGTGGAGGACTTGCCAACCGAGGCGATCTAGCAGACCAACCGTCTCATTGGAGCTTATCTGACATGTCCCCGTGACATTGACGGGTCTGCATCAGTTCTGCCATTCCCCTCCGCAGTCCGAGGGATTCGCGTACCAAAGCTACCTGAGGACAACCTTTTGGGGGTGTGCTTCGGAAAACCTCGGCTTTAGCAGCAAGCTTATTCGAGAGCTTGCTGAGTGTTCCTGCCAGAGCACTAGTCGCAGTGGGGAATTATCGGGTGCTCTGACACTTAGCATCACATCACTTCGTGTCAACGTTTGACAATGATGGAATCATGACCCATCCAATGCACCAGAAACAAGCTCAGCTGGAACCATGACCGGCCTTGGATTTACCCCCGACTGTGCAATTACTGGAAGCAAAAAGGAAATCAATATAAAGTCCGAGTGTTGTGCACTTGTGTTCTCTTTTTCGAAGCGTCGGCAACTGCGTTTTTTTGTAGTAAGTTTTATTTATGTAAATTGTACATTTACATAAAAACTACTTACCTTACATCACAAAAGTACGCCATATAATTTAATATATAATTATATGGATTGCGAATTAACATTTGAAACTTCCACCACCAGTGTTGAATTAGTCTCAACTGATCCTGGTTTTGTGGAGAAATAAGATCTCACTCTTTTGAAAAAAGATGAAAGCCTTATTTCTCCAAACAAAAATTTGTGAACCCTCACAAATAAGGATCAACAGGAATCTTCTCTGGTTGGTGGTAAACAAACGTTTGCTAAGCGTTGAAACACCAAACCAAATCTGGAAAGCAAACAACTTAAAGTTCAACTTTCCAATTTTATTTTCTAAACCTTCGATGTGGCATTAACAATTCCATCAAGGAAACACCACATCCTTCACACGTCACATCATCGTTTGTAATGCTGTGACTTTTCCCAATCAAGTGGTGGGAGGGCGGGAGTCCCTTTAAAATAAGGGCAATTTTTTTTCACCCACCCCGTTTCTCACTCCCACCCAAAAATTGGGGAATTATCGGGTGCTCTGACACTTAGCATCACATCACTTCGTGTCAACGTTTGACAATGATGGAATCATGACCCATCCAATGCATCACATCACTTCGTGTCAACGTTTGACAATGATGGAATCATGACCCATCCAATGCACCAGAAACAAGCTCAGCTGGAACCATGGCCGGCCTTGGATTTACCCCCGACTGTGCAATTACTGGAAGCAAAAAGGAAATCAATATAAAGTCCGAGTGTTGTGCACTTGTGTTCTCTTTTTCGAAGCGTCGGCAACTGCGTTTTTTTGTAGTAAGTTTTATTTATGTAAATTGTACATTTACATAAAAACTACTTACCTTACATCACAAAAGTACGCCATATAATTTAATATATAATTATATGGATTGCGAATTAACATTTGAAACTTCCACCACCAGTGTTGAATTAGTCTCAACTGATCCTGGTTTTGTGGAGAAATATAAACATGTGACTTGTCAGTAAAGGCTTGTTTGCAGAATTGACGCATGAGCAATATGAGCATGCAAAACAGTTAGCGACCAACGTGCGCTAGGACCACTGAGACGAAGCAGACGTGTCCCAGCCCAAGAGACGCCACAGCCGGCGGTCCCCTCCACTCGCTGTGGCTAGTTCTCAGACGGCTTCTTGATGATTTTTTTTGGCATTTGGAGGCTGCGCAGTTGGATGTGCCACCTTTCGGCCGGAGTGCCCAGCGCTTTGATTTTGATTTGTGCATGGCGCGCGGATATTGTGTAGGGATCCGCACTTATTACACACTGTGTTACATTGCATATTGTTTTGCTTCTGAAAGTTCAGGATCAGCCACCTGCGATAAATGTGACGGAAATCATCCCACGCAGAGGCCTGAGATGGATTAGGTTCTGGGGCACTCCAGCAATTTTTTGGATGTCGTCAATGGGGGCGTGTTCCATGATGTGAGGGCCATTTTTGAATGTAACATGTCAAAACATTCAAATGCACCATTTCCGTATTTCACGTTTATCTGCTACCAATATGTCAATCGGTCTGGTTATGTGCCACGCTGGACATGATTCAATGATAGTTCTGGAGATGTTGACCTACCTTGATACAATGGCCACACCAAGATTTACAGCTCATGGTCGCGAGGTTTCAAGCTCCCAGCCCATGCATCCTTATGCTTTTCACGGTCCTTTTTGAAATGGGGACACCTGCCAAGAGCATCGGACCTGTGACATAGAGATGTCGGACCTGCGTGTGGAACTGGTTGGAGCTATTGATGTCGGGAAGAACCTATGCCCAGTACGACAACTAAACGGCCATGTTCAGTGCCTGGCTCAGCCCCAGTCATGTAGACACACTTCTTGATTTTGAAGTATTTCCTGTGATCTTTTCGATTACGGAGTGTTTCCGACATGTTCCTTGTGCCGGGCTTAGGCGATTGAATCCATATCACACAGGTGGTCAGCTGTTGATATGGACAGAAGAGCGCCGTGAAGTGGCAATTCCCAGCTTGAACCTGTTGTTCAGCGGCGACAACAAGGCTGACGCTTGTCAAAAATGCTTGGACAATGGAGGCCCTAGGCGAGGAGTTCCAGAGCTTTTGCCATCAGGAAGGAAAAGGAAACTTGAGGACTTCAAAGCAGAACGCAAGCAGAATTCCACGGCCAACCAGTCAAAGCGGAAGGGGGAAAGGCAACAAAAGGTGTCTTCTTCGTTTTGATCAGCGGTCTTATCGGTGTACAGCCCAGGTGCTGTTCAGTCGCTTTCAGCAATCACTTGCAGTGCTTTGTTTCGAGCGATTTGCCAGCGCATAGAGTCTAGTCTAGTGGTTGACTCATGCGTGCTTGAGCTGAAAAGTGTGGATGTTGCATGTCAGATGAAGAAAAACATGTGACTTCTCAGTGAAGGCTTGTTTGCAGAATTGACGCATGAGCAATATGAGCGTGCAAAACAGTTAGCGACCAACGTGCGCTAGGACCACTGAGACGAAGCAGACGTGTTCCAGCCCAAGAGACGCCACAGCCAGCGGTCCCCTCCACTCGCTGTGGCTAGTTCTCAGACGGCTTCTTGATGATTTTTTTGGCGTTTGGAGGCTGCCCAGTTGGATGTGCCACCTTTCGGCCGGAGTGCCCAGCGCTTTGATTTTGATTTGTGCATGGCGCCCGCATATTGTGTAGGAATCCGGACATATTACACACTGTGTTACATTGCATATTGTTTTGCTTCTGAAAGTTCAGGATCAGCCACCTGCGATAAATGTGACGGAAATCATCCCACGCAGAGGCCCGAGATGGATTAGGTTCTGGGGCACTCCATCAATTTTTTGGATGTCGTCAATGGGGGCCTGTTCCATGATGTGAGGGCCATTTTTGAATGTAACATGTCAAAACATTCAAATACACCATTTCCCTATTTCATGTTTGATATGTAAAATGGTTGTCTCAACGATTTAACGGTTTCGATCTTCACCCCGTCTTGAGACAAAACCAGTGTGGCGGTCACTGACTTTGTCGGATGCTCTTGGCAGGTGTCCCCATTTCAAAAAGGACCGTGAAAAGCACAAGGGTGCATGGGCTGGGAGCTTGAAACCTCTCGCGACCATGAGCTGTTAATCTTGGTGTGGCCATTGTATCAAGGTAGGTCAACATCTCCAGAACTATCATTGAATCATGTCCAGCGTGGCACATAACCAGACCGATTGACATATTCGTAGCAGATAGGTGTATCTTTCCATGTCATGTGATGTCGTGTCCACTGTCGCTCTATTTTGTTTGGTGCAAGTTCCATGCACAGTGAGCAGGTTGACATATCTACCCAAGCTGACTGCCCATCAAGGTCAACTGGTTGCAAAAACAACCATCAGATGGGACGCAGCGGCGGAAACTACGTGACGAGGTGTGAAAGTTGTGGAATGTTGTTGACGTTTCAAGTGTCTGAATGTTGCATGTTTGCATAATTTTGCAGAAGAAAACATGTATTTTTTTGGTCATATGAAGCAAACCCCAATTTCATCGGACATGGATCCAAAGCGCTGTTTGTATGATCCAGGGTGGGAGCCCATGTTTTTGTGGTCATCATGTTTGAGCCATTGCCCCTCGGTTTCTGGTTTGCTTTGAGTATTGAACAATTCAATGCCACACTGTCGGGTCAGCAAATGTCAGCAACTAGCTGAGCCGCCAGGGGCCGAGTCATTCCACAACCAGGTGACGGGAGTTGTTTATATCACTCCCTTAGTTGCGGTTTGAGGCTGAGTCATAGATGGGTTGGGGGGGAAGGTAGGAGGCAAATGTCGAACACTACCGATACCAGTTTGATATGTTTTGAGGGGCACAAACGTCAATACATGTCCATAATTTCATCGAGACCAATTAAAGCCTCTTGATCCCAATTGAGGGGCCTCAAATGGGGCTCAAAGGGGCTCAACCAGGTTCAATTATATTAGGTACCAATGACTTAGGACTTGTGAAAGATACCCCGGGGTGGCCAAGTCCTATCTCATCATGCGTCGGACCCCCCTGGACAAGTCCCAACTCATCAGGTGTCCGTCTGAGATTGGAAACTATGTTTGATTTTTTTGATTTGCTGAGAGGTATTGATTTTTTGAAGAATGTAGTGCGGCATGGACCACTCGTAAATCATGATGACATAGGAATGAACTAACAGAAATATATAAAGATGGGCCTAGGGCATCATGCTCGTGGGCTGCACCAAGTATGTATGTAATGTAATTCAGTGTAATGTCATGTAATGTAATGTAATGTATTGTAATTACAGTACATTGCAGTACAGTACATTACATTACAGTACAGTGCGTTACATTACATTACATACATAGGACTTGGTGCACAAAATTGTATGTCACCAGAGGGGCAAAGGTCCGGAGTCATCAGAACATGCATACTTACATTACATTTACATTGCATTACATTACATTACATTTACATTACATTACATTACACTACACTACATTACATTACATTTCATTACATTACATTTCATTACAGTACATGAAATTACATGACAGTACGTTACATTCCATTACATTACATTACATTACATTACAATACATTACATTACATTACATTACAGTACCTTACATGACAGTACGTTACATTACATTACATTACATTAAAGTACATTACATGACATTACGTTATATACATAGGACTTGGTGCACAAAATTGTATGTCACCAGAGGGGCATAAGTCCGAAGTCATGTGACATACATACTTACATTACATGACATGACATTACATTACATTACATTACGTTACATTACATTACATTACATACATGCAAAGGACTTGGTGCGCAAAATCCTATGTCACCAGAGGGGCGTATATCCTAAGTCATCAGAACCAACTCTATCCATTTGATAAACATCTTTTAAATTTCATTGTAATACTCTTAAAATGAACCGCTGAGTGTTTTAAAACCGATTGTGGACAGATTTGATGGATAGAACTCTCATTTTTCAAAAACATATTTTGAAAAAATATTTTAAATTTCATTGCAATACCTTGAAAATGAACGATTGAGTGTTTTAAAACCGATTGTGGACAGATTTGATGGATAGACATCTCATTTTTTTGAAAAATATTTTGAAAAAATGAAATTTCATTGCAATATTAAAAAACGACTGAGTGTTTGAAACCGATTGTGAACATAACTTATCGATAGAAATCAGTTTTTTAAAAAGACCGAACAATTGTATAATTTCAATGTGTTACACAAACAATTTTTAATTACATAAACATGACATTTCTCATTTTCTTCCCGTTGCATCCTCCTTAATGGGTTAACAACCTCTATGAGGATGGCCTCCCAGGGGCTCCCGTTAAAGCCAACAACGGGAGGGAAGCAACGTGAAAAATGTCACGTTTAACGACCAGAAATAAGGCACGACCCAAGAAATACTGTAGCTGAAATTGATCAGATGGACAGACTTGGTTCTGATGACTTAGGACTTATGCCCCTCTGGTGACATAAGATGTTGTGCACCAACTCCTATGTATTTACTGATGACTTAGGACATTAATTATTTTTTTGTTTAAACCCATATATATATACACATACTACTAAGAATAATACTAGTAGTACTACTACTACTACTAATAATAATAAAAATGATAATATATATAATATATACAATATGTAATATATGTTATAATATATATTTAATATATATATATATATTTACACAATTATATATGTAATATAATATAATATAATATAATATGATATAATATAATATAATATAATATAATATAATATAATATAAAATGACATAATATAATATAATATAAAATGACATAATATAATATAATATAATATAATGTATTATAATATAATATAATATAATATAATGTATTATAATATAATATAATAAAATAAAATATAATATAATAAAATATGATATAATATAATATAATATATTATAATATAATATAATATATTATAATATAATATATTATAATATAATATAATATAATATGATATGATATGATATAATATGATATCATATAATTTAATATAATACAATTTATTATGATTCAATATAATATAATTTTATATCATATAATCTAATATAATATAATCTAATATACTATAATATAATATAATATAATACACTATATTATAATTTTATATCATATAATCTAATATAATATAACCTAATATAATTTGATATAATTAATCTAATATAACATAATATAACATAATATAATATAACACAACATAATATAATATAATATAATATGATATAATAAAATAAAATAAAATAAAATATAATATAATATAATAAAATAAAATATAATATAATATAATATAATATAGTATAATGTATTATAATATAATTTAATATAATATAATCTAATATATATATACATGGAATCATCAATGACAAACCATGGAATCTTTGGGATATGCTATGCCATTGTGACCCCCTGTTGAAGGAGGTACTTGACTTTAACGAAACATGTCTTGGAAGTCGTTTGTGCCATTTGAATTTCCAGGCGATCAACCATCAGTTTCAATGACAGGTCTCTGTGATACGCGCTGCGCCATTCGGGTTCTGTGATTAAGATGGATAACAAACTCGCAAAGAAACGCGCTCTTACCCACAGCTGCGGTAGTTTTTGTGCCATTTATACGCAACTATGCTGCTTGAGGATTCTTTAGAACGCGCTGCGCCATTGTGAAGTGATGTGATTGATGTGACTTTTTGCCAATTGATGTGCAACTCGATCATTAAATCTAGAGGTACCCAAGTTTCAATCATGACGCCAAGGAAAAGACGATCCATGTCGCCAGCTCAACCTGTTTGCGTGGTCCATTCATGGCAACAATACTCAACCCCGGAGCCAAGGTGTATCAAGGTGGCCATTACGATGCCTTGGAGCCGATCCATAGATTAGTTTCGCTTGAGGAACAGTCTTCTGGGACACGTCGTTTCGTACCAAAAAACGTGCCAAAAGAAGGGTTCATTATAGGGTTGCCACGTGAAATAGTCCCGAAAGGTGCAGTGTCTCGAAGTCAGATTTGCTGGGTTTGCAGCTTGGCATTTCGATTCAACTGGTAGATTTGACATAGGCAATTGCTGCTTGTTTGCTGGCGACAATCAGTGGACAAGGGGATCCCACTGATGACCATAGGAAACAAGTTTTACCCATCTTTACCCATTGGGGCCATGCCCATCGCAGGGTTTTCCACGTATCAATCCGGGGTGGTTCAGCGAATTTTCGCTGATTCAATTCAAAATCCCATGGCGCCAAGAAGGACGCAGCGACAGTGGCAAATTTTTGGGACCGTTGACACGACCTATTGTGCCCAGTTCAACAAAGGTGATCCAAAAGCCACAACTTTGATTTTGTTGGTTGTGTTGGCTGCCTTGATAATGGGGATAGGCCCCAGATTTTTTTTCCGTGCGTCATTGACACATTTCAGATCCTGAACACCCACACGTTGTTGGTTCTGTCAGGTAGATCATGCTATCTCACCATTTCTATTGTTATTTTCTTGAGCTGCAGGGTCTGTCTGAAAATGGGGGTAACCTGATCCACCAAAGATCCTTGTTCCCATGGAGGAGTTCAACAGGTCGAGGCGTGGCAAGGGGTCACACTGGGAACCCCACTCTTCTTTCATTTTGGAGGGTATGAATATTTCTTATGCCCATGTTACCACGTTCCATTTTTTTGGGTCGATGTTTTTCCTTTTCTCTTTTTGGTTTAGACTAGGGTGAGTAACATGTCATTCCTCTGGCCTCTGGGTCTCTGGGGGAAAAATCGCCTGGATTTTCAGCTGCAGGCCTTTCATTGATGGTGCTTTCAGCTGTCATTGCCCTCTTTGGAAGAGGTGGAAGACTGAAACGAAACCGCATTTTCGGGGTAGTGATCAAGATGTAAGCACCAAAAAACCCAGACAATCCGCGAGATTAAGGCCCATTTTTAGAGGTACAGGTTGATCCATACCCCCACAACATGTGTTTTGCTCAAAAGTTGGGTGTGCCATTCTCACTATTGTTTGCACTTGCACGGAGTTCTACAAGTTCCGCAGCGTCCCGACTGCCGCTTCAAAATGATAATGACGCCCATGACAGTTTTGATCCCATCCTGGTGGTGATCCCTCGTTTTTTTTCCCCGTTTTACTGGTGAATCTGGTGGCAGCTTCAGTATTGCCAATCAACTTTCGATTTTTGTTGGTTCAATTTTCATTTTGCTGCTTAAAGTATTTGCCCATGTAGTGTTGGTTTTTCATTTTCCCGTTGATTACCGGTTCCGTTTAAAGAAATCCCGAATTGCTTCACTGTCCGGTGCAGGTTGGACCTACACAGCTCCCATGGGAGGTGGCCTCACAAGGCGCCAGAGATGGGGTGCAGCGTGATTTGCCTTTGCCAGCCCCGACTAACGTGGCGAGGAAGCAAAAACATGGAAGCATCCAAAACAAGGACAAACTGGAGGGTGTCTACGAAGCAGACACCTGAGTTTGAGTCTTGAAGTCTTGAAGACTTTCCCGGCTGTGATTTGCCGGTCATATCTGGAGAATCATCTGGAGAATCATTGGATTCAGGGGAAACTCGTCAAACCGGAAACCATGGGTGAAATTACATGTTTTTACCATAAAATATGGGGGTTTCCTGTAAATGTTCCCGTGAATCCAATGATACCAATGAGATAAGATAGTCCTTCTGCCACCTGCCAGCGGTCTGCCAAGGTGCAGGACGAGGAGGAGCATCGATGGCCATTGGGGGTTTTGCCCCCGTAAAAAAAATGTGGTTTTCTTCGATGGAACATGCTGTTTCAAACATTTTCAAACGCTTTAACACATCAATTTTTTCGGGGTAGACTCCCGCTTTTCAGACAAATTCAAATCTACCTTCGGGTGGTCAACATTTACCCAGCACCTCACTGGTCTAGTAGTCGCCATCGCCTGACGTCAGGAAGAGCCTGAAATGCTGGAGAAGCCACCGATGCCCGAAAGACGTGTGCCGTACTGTTTGATCCCCAGACCGATGGCGCCCTTTTGTGGGGCTAGGGATACCAAGTGACTGCGAGAAGCGACCGTTTGCTGGCACGAAGTCTTAAAAGACAGAGAGAGGCTAAGCCTGGTGTTTTCCCCTTGAAACATCATAAAGTCATCATAAAGTCATCATATTATTATATATATATATATTATATACCTTCATCATCCTTCATCTTGCTTTCCATCGATGAAAATCCCCGACTTAACCCCTTGGGGGAATGGGTGGCTCAAGTAGAATCTGCCGCCGCCAGCTATGCACATCGTGACCCAGCTGCCTCAGCACAAGCACCTCCATGAAGAGAGCAATGCCAGGCGAGGACAAAGATGTGAACAGCAAGAAATCAGCAAGCTTTGATGCTGCATGATGATTTTTCATACTCTTTGCGTTGTGCTTTTGGTGGAAATGTGAACGTCTTCATTTGTCGCATTCTTTATCTGATGTTTGCAAGCAGACTTCTTTGCAAGCAGATTTCTGTTTGTTTTTGCTTGAATTTTCGTCCCTGCAGCGCGGGATCATTGCATTATACATATAAAACGGTTTGTTGAACGCATTGCCCTTTCCTGGGCAATCTCTTGGATCGGCCACACGGAGGAGTGCTGAGAAGAGCTGGTGGGTCATAGGTTCCAGATTCACGTGCGTAGGGGTTGGGTCACCAAAAAGGGGAGAAAACCATGCATACCTTCCCAGTCTTCCCAGTTTTTCTGGTGATTTCCTTTTGACGATCCTTTTTCGGGCAGGAGTCCATGCTCACCATCTCCATATCCGACTCCCTCGCCGGAAATCCGGAGGGATGGTCGGACCGGTCCTCAGGTGGAAGATGTCAATGCTGATGTCAAATTTGGAACAAGACTCAGATGGGTATGGCTCAAAGATGGTCCAAGTCATTTACCCCCCCAACTTGCAGGATGTGGCATAGCGCCACATGTTTGAGCCATCCCCAGATCAGTCTGATTTGAACGATGATCTATACATCTGTCAGCCATCCATCTTTTTTGCCTAAGGAATGGACGGGTGACACAGGGCACATGTACATGCCGGGCCTCGGACTGGAGCAGAACAAGCAGATGCCTTGGGGTGCCCCCTACCAGACCGAGGAGTCACAGCTCAGCCCATGGCAAGTTCCCAGCCAGGTGGGCCTTGAGAAGCCTGCCAGCTCCTGGGCTTCGCCTTTGCGCGTGCCCTTGCCCGACCCCATCCACGAGAAGCGTTTTTGCGAGGAGACCTTGGACTTACCTCCGCATTTGTCCAGCATCGCCGATCAGTTTTCAGACTTAGACCCCGCCTGGCCGCAAGAAAGCAAATATTTTCAACCAGCACCAGTGCTTCAATCAGCACCTGTGCTTCAAACGGCACCAGTGCCACCTGGGCTAGCAGCCGAGCAACCGCTCGCAGGCCCAACCATGGAGACCAAGAAAGGTGCTATGAATATGGCCACGGCAAACACGGCAAACGACCTGGAACTTCCCCCAGGCATCAAGATTTTTGGCTTCCAAGCAGGTGGTCCCAAGTGCACACGAGTGGAGTGGAAGATTGATGATTTGAATGGAAAGCTACAGGCAAGTATGGGCAGACCCTTGGTTTCACCCCCCTTTGCGGCACTTGGTTTGCCAAACCTCCGTCTCATGGTCTTTCCCGATGGACGCGAAGTCATGAAGAATGCTCGAAGCAGTGAGCGCAAGGGACTCTACACACAGATGATCAAGAAAGGGCCCTTGCATGGCGCTTTGAGGTTGAAGGCTGATTGCCTTCAGTGTGCCACAGTCATGACAGTGAACCTCATTGTTGGTGAAGTTCGAGCGGGGCCATTGGTGTATGACTTCTCCGAGCAGGCCATTCATGGTTTGGATGACTTTGGGATAGATTGGTTGAGGCAGGTGGAGCGGTTTAGCGGAAGCCTCACAGTGGGAATTGAGATTTTAGAGGTGCGGCCACAGCATTGATCCTGCAGCTTGTACATATATCGCTGGCACCACTTAAAGGCTCAACCGCCGATTTTGACGCTTGGCGGTGGCAATCGGCTGTCCCCCTGTACACATAAAGCGTCGTGCGGGAAAGGCTTGCGAGGCTGCCAATTCTGAATGGCAGCCTTGCTAATCTTGTCAGCAGCACAATTCGGATGCCTCCATACACGCACCTTAAACTCCAATGTTGGAAGCACTGGTTGAATGGTGTGTCAGTTCATGCACCTGCCTGAAAGGCAAAATCAGAAACCAACTCCTGCGTTATTAGTGTTCCTTCCAGTTTGTGTCACCGAGCATGAAACATCAACGTAAAAGGATTGACACAGGGGTTGGACTGGCGCTTCTTGAACGGTGTGCAACACTTCTTCTGATTTTCTCCAGATTCAAAAACCGCAGTGCCCACTCCTTCAGCTGTGTTGGTTTGACCGGGAAGTCTTGTTTGCGCATCTCTTTTTTTCGGCCGGTCTTGGAGCTGCCATCTATCAATTGCAAGATGGGGAAATATGCCTAGTGGACATGGGCCACTCAGTATCTCATTGCTGGCTTGACCTTGTACCATGGCGTAAAAAAGATACGTTTGCAGTTTGCAGGGCGTCAAGTGCAATGGCTGAATGACGATTTGTTTCTTTTTGTGCAAGAGCGTGGTAGATGCGCAAAACCTCTCCTCTTTCATTTCGCTTGCCAACCCCTGTGCCCGACAATTGCTTCTTAAATGATCACTCCATCTCCAGCTTCAAAATCCAATCGTTCAACCTCTGAATGGCAGGCACTACATCGAAGAGAAACTGGTTCTGTCTCTTGAGAATTTCGAGGACCTCATCAGGCGGAATGTTAAGCCGACGGCTTGGCTCGATGGTTCCGACTGAGCGGTCTACCACCCAAGAAATTTCCGTCTGGCCGATCAACCTGGTGACTTTACATTGACCTTTTGGCTGAGAAAGAAGATTGCATAAGTTGCATATGTCATGAAAGATGGTTGTGAAATGGGTTCATTACAGGAATCCCCCATCCACCAACCAGAACCAATCCAATTCAGGCGCTCTCATGGGGCCATTCACTTTCTCAAACTTGTTGAACCCTGAGAAACACATCGATTTACTCCAAAATGGACCTATTCTACTTTCTTCAAAGGTGTGCCTGGGGGATCCGAAAGAAATCTCCAAGTAGAGCTGTCGCTCAAATGACTAAAATTGACTAAAACTATACGATCTCTATATTTCTTGGGGACATCCAGTTCTTTCCTAATGTGGTAAATCCAATGACAGACCCCCAGTTGGGCATGGTTTACAATGACCCCAAATCATAACATTGGGTATGGTTTATGGCTTTGGGTCTATATCAAGCATCCCCACTTTTGCAAGTCATTTCCGGATTAGAAACTATCAAGTCAAATCAGCGTCACCGGAATTCGGATCAGCGTCGCAGAATCAGCGTCAAAGACGATCCTGGATCAACATCGTGTATAAATGGTCCGGATGGTCTGGACAGTCGGGACAGTCGGGACGGTCGGGACGGTCGATCCAAACTGCCCCGACCCAACCAATGTAGATTCCGATCCAGCGCCGATCCAACCAACACCCCACTTTTGCAATTTGCGGATTGACCACACCCAACTTGGCTTCGTTGGGTCAACCCTTAAGCGTTCCTTCAAGAGCGCTGTGACAGGCACGTGGAGGCACCCCGGCAGTTGGCGCGGAAAGTTGGAAAGACTGGGGGATTGATTTTGTTTCCATGCCATCCTTAGCCACTCCCTCTGGTCAAACACTCGCAAATCCCCATTGATGATTTTCCTGTTCATTGTTCATTCAGGAATTTTCCATTGCCATGTTTCATTACCGGAGTTGGCAGGATTCTTCCCCTGGCTCCTGTGTTTTTCCACGAAAATGGATGAAAACTGGTAAGCAGATCATCCACTGGACGAGTTTTGGCTGGGCATGGCGACTCTGGGTGGCATGACTTGTCAGGTGAATCTGCAAGTTTCGGAGAACTTCCACCGTGAGAAGCGCGGTGACAAAGTTGCTGCCGTTGTGCTTGGTGTAGCGCAAAACCACCCTGCTCATGGTTTCAGTAGGATTTACCCTCTGGTAATTTAACAGTTCGCTATTGAAAACGGCCATTTATAGTGGACCTACCCATTGAAAATGGTGATTTTCATGATCGGGCACCATGATTTTTCGTGCTCCTCCCCGGATCGGCCGATGAAACATCCCTGGTCCTATCCAGTGCCGAAACATCATTGATCCCTTCCCCCGTTTATTTTGAAAACCCTCCAGATGCCACGGTTGTTTGTTGGGGATGAAGAACACCTGTTTGGATGGGGTGTTTAATATGGGGGATGGGTGAAAATGGGTCCATTTGACTTATGAATTGAGGATCTCAACGGGAGTTTGTATGGGTGTTGGTACAGGAGGTGTTTTCTATCTTCCAACACATACACATCATGCAGAGGCACGTCGTAAAACAAAGGCCACCCTCCTTTTCCCACCCCCAAACCTTCATAAGGCAAGGATAACATCAGAGAATGCCAGGTTTCCAAAGCAACATCACTTTGGTCTGCTACTCACCAGATCATATCAACTTTGAAGCTGCAGAATCAGGGATATGAGGTTGTCTACATCCATGAATCTTCATGAAGAAAACACAAAGACTTCACCACAGGTGGTTCGTCCAGTTTTTGGGAAACCCAGATTTGGACAACATTTGTGAGGAATTATCCATCATTTACCCAAATGAATCTGTAGCACAGCATGCGGGGTGTACCATTTTGGTTTTAGATTTCGGTCAATATCGGTCAATCCTTATTCCGAAGCTGAATTTCACACACACATATATTGGTCTCTCCAAACATGGGGTACTTTTACAGCTTTCCAGCGAAGTTTCAGTATCTCATTGGTTCGGAGAAAGCGATCGTTTCGAAATAAGATAAGAAAATGGGGTACCTCTAAGGCACTCACCAAGGAGATAGCCCTTAGATAGCCTAATTACAGAACTGGTTGGTGGTTTGGAACCATGGAATTTTATGACTTTCCATATATTGGGAATGTCATCATCCCAACTGACTTTCACTCCATCATTTTTCAGAGGGGTTGTTTTACCACCAACCAGATAGATTAATCATAGATTAACCATAGATTAACCATTATTAACTGGGGTTTCCCTTGCCAACCAGAGAATGTCCTGTATCTTCTATGGCTTCCATGACGCGCCTAAGCCCGCGCCAAAGCCTTGCGCCTTTTCCGTCCCAGGCGACCTGAGAAGGCCAAGGCCAAAGGTGACCTCGCGGAGATCGCGGAGGTGCGTGCGTCTCAACGTCAACGGGTGTGTTTTGCGAAAAAAGACGAATCACAGAGATCTAATATGATCTAACAACAATTATTAATATGATCTCTTATTCTTCATACTAGAAAATATAAATGTTATTATGAGGAATAATTTTGTTAGATCTATATAATGATGTTATTATCTAATATGATCATTCTTAACAATATTTTCTCATAATAGCATTAGATCTCTGTTATTCTTCATGTTAATATCTATAGTAATAACAGGATTATCTAATACCTATTATCTAATATTCTAATATTATCTAATGTTCGAAAATTGTGAAAGAGAAACCTAGAGAAACCTATAACTGTTATTATAGCCTATAGTTAGGCACCGTTCTCCTTTGAACGACAATTCTTGACAATTGACAATTCTTTGTTCTGCTGCTTATTTTCTGATAAGGATCAAATTGAGAAGGTGATGCTAACTTATCTGGTTGGTGGTTTCAAACATTTTTATTTTTTATTTTCCATAACATATGGAATAATCCTTCCCATTGACTTTCATAGTTTTCAAGATGGTTATTGCACCACCAACCAGTTATAATGGAATACCAAATTCACTAACGATTTAAAGGTGCTGGATCTAAAGATGAATTTCCGCCTTGTCATTGGCCGCTTGCCTTTGAACATGATGGGCCCCGGTAGCAGCATGGCCACGCTTTAACTTGTTGAGTCCAACATAGACAAGAAACGGGTCTCATTTGTTGTGGTGAAATCCCACTTTTGAAGACTAAATCGTCATTTTTTGTTGAGATTGCAGAGTTCAAGGTGCTTCATGTTTCGTGGTAACATCACTATATTAACATCTATTACCCTGGAGTAAACCAACATAACATAGATATGTAACATCCATTATTTGTAGATGATTTTCCTGGACAAACCATCTATGTCAGTTTTCTCATTAATTTTAGAATTATATAATTCCCATTAAAATCCCTCTATAGAATCCCTGGGGTAAACGTAAAGTTACTTTACCTCGGGGTAACCCTGTTTAACTCACGTTGGGTTCCAGGATGATGTCCTGCCCGTGGCACCGGAGGGGGCTGCCGGACACAAGATGTGCGGGGACCTGACGGCACTTTTTCAGCGGTGAACATTCCCCAGCTACTCTAGCAACATTTTTGGGAAGCATGGGACACAACCATCATTTTTTATGGGATTTTATGGGTTTTACTGGGGTTGAACGGGGATATAATGGGTTCTACCTTCCAACATAACCCATTCATCTGACTTTCAATGGGTATACGGTATATGTGTGTGATATTCCACATAGAATTGGTTGTATTTCACAACACGTGGCATTTCTATTTGGGTGTGGTGAACATGAAACTTATGGGACCGGGGAGATTCGACATTGCTAATTGGGAGATATCTAACAGTTCTTGATCCCTTGGCAATGGGAAGATTTTCAGTCGAAGAACTGGTACTTTGATGGGGATTTTTCACCATTTTGAGTCATTAAAACGGAGGAATGATTTTGTATTAAAACGCTAGGTGAACATAACTAGGCTGGCGGTATGAATCAACTGAGCAGTGCCCAAGTTACACCAATTGGTTGATGATGATGGGTTTTTACCATCATTTGTACGGGTTTCAACGAGCAAACATATGGGGATATAATTGATGAACGGTGGCATACTACCTCGTTATATAGGAGTTTGTACAGCCCGTGGGAACCTCTAATCAATGGGCTTCCTGAAACGGGGGGGTACCCCAAATCATCCAAGTTATCGGTAATTTTCGCTGGAACTTGGGCCTTTTTTTTCATTTTCATCATTCTACCGGCCGATGCGACCATCAAACAAGCCATCACCCCCAGATAATCAATATGGCTTGCTTGAAAATCCACCATCTACCCTCTGGTTATTTAACATAGCCATGGAAAATGCCCATTTATAGATGGTTTACCGAACTTAAAAATGGGTGGATCTTTCCATGGCTAACTGTTAGTCATAACCAGATGGCAGTTCGCTGAGCTGACACCAGCTATGTCCATGGCTACTTGGGGGATTCCGGGGCCATGTTTGATGTATCATTGACCATCATCAACCATCATTGACTATCATTGAACATGATTAACTGATTAACCACTATTCATCATCATTAACCATTATTAACCATCAAAAAAATACTGTAACCATGATTAACGATTATTCATCATCTTTAACCATTACTAACCATTATTAACCATCCTTAACCATCCTTCACCATCCTTACCCATCCTTAAGCACCATTTTCCCATGGACCAATCCTCCAAGCTCCAAGGCTGACGCCCTACATCTTCAAGGCCACAGTAACTCGGTGACGCGGTGTGTGAGATAAGCCATGAGGACGCAGAAGGAAGGCTATCCTTGTTACATGATACCCTCTGGTAATTTAACATAGCTATTGAAAATGACCATTTATAGTGTATTTACCCATTGAAAATGGTGATTTTCCATAGTTATGTTAGTTTACCAGAGGGTAAATGACAGGATTAATAATTGATACTGATATGATATCTGAGGATATACTCCATGAGAATTGTTCTATTATGTTCTATTATCCTCATGAGTATTGATATTTATACTCACATGACAAGGATTACCATTGTTCTATACTCCATGACTATTATTCAATATGAATGGTTTATATCATGGAACTAAATGGATTATATATGAAGTATTATGACCATTATTCAACATACATGGGTATAATCCCTAATTTTTGGGGCAAACCAATGCCATCTGCACCATCCCCACAAAATCACCATTTTTTTTCGGTGGGATTTTTTGACCATTCCCAGGAAAATGGGTGCTTTATCCAGATAAATGATAGGATTAGCATCTGGTTATTTAACATAGCCATGGAAAGATCCACCCATTTTTAAGTTCGGTAAACCATCTATAAATGGACCATTTTCCATGGCTATGTTAAATAACCAGAGGGTAATAGATAATGATTCATTATATCTGAGTATTAAAGAAGGATCTACAATTATCCAGATGATACTCAGATAGCTCTGATTCATCCAATCAACTCGGTGACAAGTAAGCTGAGCAGCTGGCAAACATCCCGCTTTCATCTACAAACATCCAGATAAATTTGATCATGAGGTCATCGGAAACGATGATTTGGCTTGTGAATTCTCACATTTTTTTCAGAAACAGAAACATGGTAATGTGACATGCGGATTAAGCAATATCATAAACCACCCATTTGGGAATGGTTTTAATGCCACCTATAAAAATGGTGATGACTGGGGGATGGCTTACTGAGTTTACTGCATTGTTTTTACCCACATTAATTTACTCCAAGCAAGTACCCTCTGGTTATTTGTTACATAGCCATGGTATAGATGGCCCTAATCGAAATAGATGGTAAACACCGAACTTAAAATGGGTGGTTCTTTCCAGTTCGCTAACTGGCAATGTCATTTCACCAGATGGAACTGTGGTTTTTCTGGTGGTTCATAGGATTTTTTTATCCATCATTAATAGGATGATTACCTAACAACTATAGTGATCCCATGGCATTCACCACCGTGATCCAATGGTTTTCCATCGTTGTTTAGCCGAGGTCACTTTGACCAACCACCACAAGGTGACTTTGTCCAACCCTGAGAAGCATGTCCTGACCTCAGGTGACACTAAACAGGGGTAAATGGCTTTACGAGTTCTACACTCTTGTGATCTAACGTTTTCAAAGTCCAAAGTCCCTACAGCTGTGTTTGGAAATGGGGTATTCCATCTGGTGCAAGTCCTCTCTATTTGTCCCATTAGGCTCAGACAGCTCTGTCTGCTCTAGCTGGACTCTAGATGCTCTGGCTCGTCCAATCATTGTTTCATATCTTTTCATATCTTTTCATATCTTCATCTTGTCTTGCACACCGGTTCTCTATACATCAAAGCATGGCCCATTTAACATCGTCCATGTCCAGACCTTGTCTCTCGTTCCCAGGTATACCCCCAATGAACATGCATGAACATGCCATTTAGAATAGGGGAAACTGAGGGTTACCCATTGGGAGGGCAAGGCTTCCATTTCAACCACGACTCGAGGCGCAGCCCACCCTAACGGAGGCAGTGGATCATATGGTGGACGTGCTGCGAAAGCCGGGCCCCCGTTCGAGCTCGGGTTATAACTATAGATAACGAACTAGTTTATGATAGATAACTACAGATAACGAACTATAGTTTATGGTAGATATTAACTATACTATACTATAGTTTTCATGGGGTCTATAAACCAACTTACATAACTGGGGCACCATCCTGTGGTAAACCCCGAAATTTCATCTGGAGGCTAGATTTATGACCAGAAAAGCATGAGGACCATCATTGATTTGGAGTTCCATGTTCGATTTTAGCTTTTTTTCTTGGCAAACGAGGGCCAACCATGATTTGGTACCTTCTGGTGTCATCAACCATGGCAAGCTGGAAACATCATTATTTAGTTCGATCTTTTTTCCATTTCAATGCCCATTTTCAGGGGATTGTCCATATTTTAGGACGACATTCCCATATTTTTCCCATGTTTTCGCGCCGCGTGAAATTTCAGGTCCCTGCGGGAGGAGAAGAACAGGATGATCGCGTCCAGGAGTTGGGTGATGAATAGCATATGATTGAACTATATATGCATAAACCTGGTTCAATGGATATATGATTTATATGGTTAACTTATGATTGGATAATATTGGATATATGGTTTATATGCATATTAATTTCATCAAGCCATGATTTAAATGGATATATGGTTTATCATATGATTGAACTCCATATGTGTGAAGTTCATGGCTTGATTTTAATGTAATAAACCTGGTGGATGAGCCACTATGATTGGATATGAAGCCATTGGAGACCACAAAGAGTGGTTAGGACACCGTTTTTATCTCACTTCTTCTGATCCATTCTGGAAACGTCAGCAGAATCAATCTGCAATTGGCCCGAAGAAACTCTTCAAATTAAGGTTTTCAGAAAATCACAGAAGTCAAAGTACTCATAGGTGCACAACTGTTGCATACTGTACATAGCTTAGGCTATTCCGAGGTTGCCACGGAATAGCACTCATGACCCATGTGTGCAATTGCCAGAGCCAGCAGTTGCGTACCCCACGTTGCGGGATGGTCATATTCCGATTCAAAGGTGTTAAAAGACTGAACCCATTGCAAGGAATCTGACATCTTCTTGCCGACAAATTGATTCGAGTAGCAAGCATTTATCAACATGCTGGTGATTTTTCTACCTGTTTGTGGGCAAAATCCCTATGGCCCTATTTCACATTCTTCATTTTCTCATGGTCAAAAAACTCAGCATTTTTGCTGTAAATATATACATCCTAAAGGGAGTACTGGTGAAATCCATGAATCATGACTGAAATCCATTGAAATCCCAAATTTTCCAGGTCAATTTGTGAATTTTTTCTGAAATCCATTGAAATCCCGAATTTTCCATTGAAATCCCAAATTTTCCAGGTCAATTTGTGAAAAAAAACCCATGATTTTTGGCTGCTTCAGTCCACCTTTTTCAAATAGGAGGAAGGCAGCCGAGAAGGCTCTCCCAGTGCCTTGGCGGTGTCAATTCCCATCTTGAATTCAAAAATTAGATCCTTTTGAAATAAGGTCATCAATGTTTATTGGGAATCCTTATATATGGGTATGGGTCAAAACCCTGGTACCTAGTGAACCCCAAAATAGCTGGTAAATGGATGTTCATCCCACTAAAAATGTATCTATAGGTATTGACCCATACCCATATCATTATTGGATTTATATACAGTAGCCATTATGTTGGGATTCCCCATAGATGGATGACCATAAATGCCATAACCCATAACTTGGCCATGGCACCTATGGTACTGTTGATCAGCAACTGATCATCAACCAGTGGATGGAATGGCTTTTTTGGGGGATTTCAACACGTTGTAAATTTAGTTTCAGACACACCCAAAAAATATGGATTCATCAACAAATGGTTATATGTGGTTATATATATACATATATACATATATATATGGTTGAGATATATGGTTCATCAACACATGTTTACTGTAAGAAGGGAATGCAGAGCCAAAAAATGGTTTTACGTCACCGTCATTCAGAACTCCCACAGCAAAATCTGGCCACGGATGGAAAAAAACATAAATGTCCCAAATTCCCATTGGTTGGTTGATGAAAAAAGAGGGGTTTGAAGAAACCCCTGAAAAACAACAGGTAAATGATGATGGTTAATCATGGTTAATCATGGTTAATGATGGTTAATCATGGTTAATGATAGATGGTATACCAAACCGGCCCCTCTATTTCTACCAAAAGGACATGATTGATGGAATCCCCCTCCATTGTTTGAAAAGAAAAGCATCTACTAATAGCTAGCAGATTGGCATGCCAGCTCGGATTGCCAGATTTAATAGGTAAACCATCTATAAGTGGGCCATTTCCCATGGCAAACCGTTAGTCATAACCAGAGGGTAATTCACCCGGATTCACTACCACCAAATCACTGCTCGACGAAAAGGATGAGATCGACGACGACATCGACAGCTTCAACAAGGAGATGGCAGATGGATTGGTCGAGGTGGGATGTGGTCTGGAGAAAGCAAGAACTTTGGGGAATGAGAGCTCTCACGGATGATATGTATATATATATATATGTATATATATATATGTATATATATATATGTATAATTATATATATATATGTATAATTATATATATATGTATAATATATATATACATGTATAATATAATATATACATATATATATATATAATGATTTTAATATATACATAATGATTATATATTATATATTATATATATAGATTTTGTATATGTTCTGATGGGCATAAAATACGAACAACATATGAAGATGTTGAGTGCCGAAAACGGGGATGCAAAGCAACAATGGAAATATCAATGCATGGGGATATTCGGCTAAGAATTTGGGACATGATGCAACTGGTGCAACTGAGAAAGCTTGACTAGCACTGCGGATAGCATTTCTGACCCAATCAATCGGGTTTGATTACAGAGGAATCCGAGTAGCCGAGTCCGAGTGGAATGTCGGTTTGCGAAAAAAACTTGAGGCCATATGATCACTAGCTTGTACAGCAGACATGTAGTTTTTCTATGTTTTTCTCAACCAAAGGGAAGTCATTACGCTGAAGTTTCGGGCTTTGTCAGGCCGAAGCCAGCGCAAAAGATGCGGCTGAGGAAGCCATGTGTCCTGCTGAAAGAGGAACAGTTGGGTTAGGCACCGCATAACAGGGGATTTACTGCAAAGTTGTGGCAATTTTGAATATGATTTTGATGGGGAAGAAAATCGCTGTTAAACCATGGGATTTTCTGGGGTATCCGACGTTCAGTCAAACCAATTCCAATTAATGTGGTTAAAACAGTAGCAAACCACCCCCCAAATCACCATAGATAGGTGGTATAAACCATCAAAATATCGGTGGTTTAAAGTATTGTTTTGCCCACATTACTTTAGTATTTGGATGACTGACGCTGGAGTTGGTCGCAACCCACCCGATCTTTCCAGCCTGATGGCTTCATCAGGTATCAGCGAATCGAAGCCTCCCAGAAGTAGGCGCCCGGCGATGTAATCCCCCTGAGAAGGAAACGCCTGGAATAGTTTCCCCTTGGAAACCTTGGTTTAGTATTGGATTTCTGAATTTTCAGGGCCCTGTTGTGCAAGTGGTATTGATTAGCTCCGCAAGGTACAGCGGAAGCTTGTCGCGAACTTCGCTGGCAGCCAACGACTTTGCTTGAACGTTCAGGCAACGGTGGTTCATTGTGTCGCCGTACTCGGCAGGATTTGAATGTTTAAAGTGGTCAATCCGTGTCAATCCCAACAGCGGTGGCTGACAATTCCAAGTTTCAGTCGGCCCCGGAACGGATCCATGCAAAAGGTCATGTTTCCATTGCCCTCAGTCAGGGCTATCATTTTATGAAGTTGAGCTGGGTTGGCCAGCGGCCAGCGAAAGCACTGGCGGTAATTCAGGGCCTACTTGGGTGGTACAAATAGTAGTTGATTCCAAAAAGTGAAGCTGAGTTAGACTGCAGAAGTGCCCCTGAACATGCCTTGAGAAGATATGATAAGATACCAGCTGTTTCTCTGTGCTTCAGGATGTGTGGAACTGCAGGTTAAAACTTTGCAAAACGGAAGCCTTCAGGATCTCTGTGGGTCTGCCTCGTTCAAAAAGGTTCGGTGCGCACCGGTTTTCTGGTTTGGGCGGTCTTCGCACGTGTGCTACAACCAGGCCGAATTGCCATCTGTGTGCTGCAGTTACTGCAGAAGCAATTTTCCAAAACTTGGTTGGATTGGATTCATTGTGACAAGACAGGTTGGAGGCATGACCAAAGCCATATTTCATCATATTTCTACAATTGTGCTGTCGAATTGCGCTTGTTCTAGGATGTTTACATCTTGAAAAAATGGAGAAACAATGCAAAACAAATGGAATTGGAAAATACAATGAACAAATGGAAAGCAACAAAAAAGCAAAAAAAAAAGGCAACAAAAAAGCAAAAAAAAGCAAAGAAATGGGCCCTCGGTAAGCTTTCCCGAAAAGCAGCGTTTGGGACTTGGGCTGGGGGGCTGTGCCAACCACCAACCCTTTCCTGAAAATCTATGTGCCCATTCAAGTGTTGATGCAGGGAAAGAAACCCAAACCGAACCGAAACTCATTCTTGCACATATTGCATGTGAGGCAAATTCAAGAACCTGAATGCATGAAAACCAGGCAACCGAGACTGCATATCCTGCACGCCCCCTATATGTGAATCAAGCGGATGTCCAAAAGCATTTTCAGCAATTTGTGTTTTTGAACTTACGGTATATTATTTTTGATTTATATTTGTTTTGCATTGCGTTTTTGCATTTGCATTTTTTGTGCATTTATGATTTCCTTTTTTTGCATTTTCTTTCTGCAGTTGCTTTTGTTTGCATTTTTAAGATCCATTTTTTTTGCATTACATGCTGCATTTTTTCAAGATTCAAAATTTCTAAGATAAGCCCAGAAGGCGCCGACACAATTCTACATATTTTGCGAAATTTGGGTCCGAGCCGATTCGATTGAGGTGTTTGAGCCTTTTGATATTCGGCACGTCTTTTGATGGCTGAAATTGAGCCACGGCGCGCCGAGCTGGCGCTGCCCCTGGTGCGAAGGGGTGTTGACAGCCCCGGTGAAGAGTCTGTGGAAGACTCAGCAGGACCGCTGGAGGCAGAGGAAACAGATAATGTCAACCCTGGATTAGTAACCCCCTAGGCTGTTTAATTGGGAAGGTACCATTTCAGTATCAAATCAATTCAAATAATAACTATTGGGGGGAATACCCCCTAATTAAAAAACCATGGTTTATTAATCCGGGGTTGACATTATTTGAAGTCAAGTGAATGGCGAATATGCACCAAAAGGAACTGCAAAATTGGAGGTTTCAGTATCGAATCATCTAGTCTTTGGCTCGTGATGATTTTACGAGCCATTCGAATCCTGCAAGAACTTCATCCCCTGGGTAGAAAGATGTTTCAATGACTTATGAGCTACTTGCTTGATTCATCCAGAAGAATAGCAATTGTCAGCCTAGCACACGGAGAAGACATTTAAGTGATTTTCAAATCGATGATGAACACAACCAACTCCATAATCCCTTTCAACTGGGATATATTACTCCCTTTACGCACCATTCTGCTGATGCCATTCACAGTTTTTTTTTGGGTAAAAACAACGATAAGACTTCCCCATTCCTTGCAACATTTGCACCTTTTCCATCTTTCCGGGAAAAACAACATTGAGCGATACGCAAGCCATCTTGAAACCCCTTATCCAACAACGTGCTGACGTGTTTTGACCAACCTTTCAGCAACTTTCATCATTTTTTTCATCATCTTTCTTCATTTTTCATCTAATATTTCATCATCTTTTGTCCTTTTTAATCCTTCATCTTCTTACTGGTGCTTAGTAGGGAATGGATTGGAATGGGGGGAATGGGATGATTATTGATAGGTAGCCAGTGGATTCCCTCATTCCCTACGTTTAGCACCAGCAAGTCTTTTCTTCGAAAAAACCCATGGTGAACACTTCCAGGGCACCCAGGTCCCTCGCGTTACAACGCGGAGGATGTTGTTCGCTGCTGACCTTCACCTGGGTGGGGTCGCTGATCTCCGAGGGCTACCAGCGCGAGAAGCGGCGCTGCCAAGCCGCTGGCGCCTGGGCGATGGGATCGATGTGGTTTCGAGATTTTCAGATTCCCAAGTCTTCGTTTTTTGGGGGTTGTTATATCAATGTATTATGTATATGTATATATATACATACATAATCAATATATATATATACATAATATATATATATACATACATACATACATAATCAATATATATATACACATAATATATATATACATACATACATAATCAATATATATATATATACACATAATATATATATACATACATACATAATCAATATATATATATATACATATATATATACACATAATATATATATATATACATACATACATAATCAATATATATATATATAGTATAATAATAAATATAGATATATATAGTATAAGAATAAATATATATATATACACGCGTATGTATATATATTATATAATTATAGAATATCAATATATACTGTAGAATATCATGAGGATGGAGAGGTACATGGACGGATGGATGGATGGAGAGGTACATGGACGGATGGATGGATGGAGAGGTACATGGACGGATGGATGGATGGAGAGGTAGATGGACGGATGGATAGCTGATAGATAGTTAGAAGATAAAAAACTATGATGTCACATAACCAGATACTGTACATAATGATAAAGAATAGATACACAGATGAGCAAAAACAAATGAGCTTTCAAATACAATGAAGCACAGGTGAGGACAACGCCAGAGTGCCTGCAGGGTTCCAGGTCAAATAGGAACCACCATGGGTCAAGTTACCTATGAAATTTCCATATTTGGAGGAATAACCATCCATTAACCAACTATTTTAGGGTAGACTACCAGGTTTTTGTCCCAGAACCATATGAGACCAATGTATATCCATCTGACTCTTCCACGTGGGCCATATCATACAGGATCATCCCGTGCGTAGGGTCCGACAAACCCCTGGTGAAAGGAAAACTCTCCGTCGATTCGAGTGGGGTCGTCCGAAAATCCAGATCGGATGATTTTCTCAACTAATCCTTTCCCAGACATGTCAAATAGCAAATCGAAATCCTGATTGTGTCTTGGATCCATTCATGAAGGCTCATTTTATTTTGAGTATCTCAGTCATTGGTTGAAGTGTTTGTCAATTTCTAGTTCTGGATCATTCATCCAGAGATGGAACCTGGAAGGGTTGCAAAGCTGGGCTACCCGGCCTGGTAAACAAACAAAGAGCGACATAGAAAATGGCCCATTTTTAGTGGATCTACCTATTAAAAATGGTGATTTTCCATAGTTACGTAAACGTTTGCCAGAGGGTAATCTATCCCACTTTTTGGTTTTTCTCCATATCCATAGGACCTCACTGCGCCCAAGGTGCTGAGGCCGAGGGCTCTGAGGCACAATTCGCGCTGACGGAGACGGATCTGCTATTCCTGCGGCAGGTGGGGGTCCTCGGGTCCTCGCGGGGGTTACGGATCACTGTAGGATCACTGTAGGACCTTAGGATATCACTGTGGACCTTAGGATATCACTGTGGATCATCCTAGTCCTACCGTAAGTGGTGAAGCCTGGTGAGCGTTTCAACACCCGCGAGAGGCAGTTATTTGGGATGATCCCAACCATAGTGGTAGTGGTATAACTGCTTAGCGGAGGATCATCCCAAAATAACTGCTTAGCGTTCTAAAATGGGGATAGTGGTATAAAACCAACCATTGTGTACCCCCCAAAAGACATATTTTCATTGGGAAAAACATGATTCACTGATGGATTACATGGGCCCTATTTTCAGACAATATCATCTGGAAAATCGACATCTGTAAAAGTCATGGGTTTTCCATGCTTTTTTTGGCATCAAAATGAGGGGTGAAACTGGGTAAACTGTGTCAATTTGAGCAATTGACTGAAGAAATGGGATAGTTGCGACTCAACAATCGAGCCACGAATTTGTGGTTCCCAAACGGGTCATGGTATTTTATTTGAAGCCGGTGGAAGGTAGACATTGAAGTGTTGAAATTGATTTGACAGTGGTGTGACTGAACTTGTTTCACCTAACTTCATCCAACGTCAACGAAGTCATGTAAGGGTGGTCCCATCGAACAGTTTTTTGTTTTTTCCTGGAATTTTCGAGTTGATCAATGCCAGTTTACTGTAAATTTATGGTTGATGACCAATAGTTAATGGGAGTGTTGAACGGGTTGCTGAACTGGTAGTTAATGGAATTCATTTTTGTTTATCGTAGTGTATATGGATAGTTGTTTGTTATTAAATAACAAAACTAGTAGTCAAACAGTATACTTTATACTAGTAGTCAAGCTGGGTGGGTGGGTATCCTGACATCATTAATCCACCGTGGTACTGGAAAATCCCTGATGACTTTCCCAGCAAAAAAACACCTCCATAAATGGTGGGGGATTTCTCATGTGTAAGTGGGATTTTGCTACATTCTCCCATTGTTTAGAGGGTAATTTCCAACCAGCCGGGTTTGATGATCAGAGGGTAACCGAAATATGATCAGTTATCCATGAATTCTCCATGAAAATTGTCCATTGATGCTCCTTTTTGGTTATATGGGGCTGGGTCAAAACCTATCCATTTTACGATGAACATCCATGAATCACTAGGTACCAGGCTTTTGACCCATAGCCAGGAAAAGCCATCATATAGCCATTGTTCAATGGCATCACCGGACCAAGCGGTCCGCCTCGGTCCGCCTCGGAAAAAAACCTTAGGACGACGTGCCGCGAGCTTTGAGTCAATCCGCCCACAACGCCTGGCACCAGGTGCCGCGATCCAGTGAAGCGACGATCTTTGGAGGTGATAGCTATGTTGATTGATGATCAACTACCCTCTGGTAAACTAACATAACTATGGAAAATCACCATATTTAATGGGTAAATCTACTATAAATGGCCATTTTCAATAGCTATGTTAATTTACCAGAGGGTATATTCAATGGGAGATCTCCAGGATCCAATTTATGGAGGTACGTTAGTACCATATTTTTGGCCATATTTTGGGGGTATATCCCCTGAAATTTAGCCCTGAAAAATAGACCTTATATATGGTAGGTACCTCCAATTTAGGTTCCTGAAATGGCCGTTGATACATAGATTCCAGTGTTTTTGGTTGGTTGATGAATTTTTAGAGGGATCACCCCGATAGTTTTAAAGCAATTTGGTAACAAACAAGTGGTATTCCTAGTTGCTGTCCAATCAACTTGGATGATACCATTTAGAAAGTTGGCTCGCAACCCCAGTTACCATCCAGCTACTAGCGATGATCCTCTTTTTGTTGGTCAAAGTATCCTTACTATTGTTGTATCATATTATCCCCAAACTATCCACCTATCAGCAAGCTGCTTGTTTCTTACTTTTTTGTGAACATCAAAACCACTTATTTTTGTTCTTGAAAGCTCCGTTTGACTGGTTAAATCCTTCATTTTTCCTGGGGAAACTGCCAGTTTCCGTTGTTGAACCCCCCACTTTGCGTTTCAGTCGCTAGGTGAGCGATGAGGCGGCCCAAAGAAACCGGCGACCCTCGTTGATGCGCGCCTTACTGCGTGCCTTTGGACGTGCCGTGGCCGTGATGAAACAGCCCCAAGAAAAAGGGCAGATCAACCGATTGGGGAGCTATTCTTACTGGTGCTAAACGCAGGGAATTCTCGGGAATGATCCCAGTCATCACTAGTAATGTCATCATCCCAACCCCCAGCAACCCATCTATTCCCTATGTTTAGCACCAGTAAGTATTTATTTACGGATTTCGGTTTTAGCATTCGTTTTTTAGGGAGTAATTACTCAATCGTCCCAAGACTGGCTTATTTCTATTCTGATTTGGGAATTATTTTCTAATGTGGGTAGTTTTTTTTTTTTTCCGGACTGCTCGTGGGGATGCACCCAAGATAAAAAACGGGTATTTTAGCAATAACAAGTGAGGATTGAAATCAGGAGGAACGGAAAGATTTACAACTCAGATTTGCCACTTATCTTGGGGATTGAACCATGCTTTTGCTTTTGTCATTTCTTTTTTGCAGATTGACAACTGATTGATTGAGCGGCACTGGTCTTCCGCATTTAGTTGTCCTTCTGGGGGCTGCAGTACCTGGCTTATGTATGTACCTATGGATGTGCATCCCAGAAATTGTACTGTAAGTGCTTTATAACGCACATGCAATTGCGGATATTCCACATATATATATATATATTATATTATGAATTATATTATACATATAAAACAACCGCATAAAACAACCAACTGAAATAATCATATTTAACTACAGGAAATAACTATATGAAATATGCAATATATATATAGACATTTGTAACTGGGGTATTTCATATGCTTCTTATTTCCCAGAAAACCGATGCTCACAGTTCTGGACTCAGGACCTTACGTGTGCGCAGCCTTCTTCAAGTTCACCTATGACTCGCTTCAAATGGCTGGGCCATACATCCTGAAAGACTTGCTAAATTATTTGAGTCATTGCAGTGGTCGCTTGGATCGACGGGTTTTAAGTGTCTTTGTTGGGCCTCAAAAGGGGAAACATGGGTAGTTCTGGGCATCCAAGTTTTCAGAGATCTGCTGCTCCAAGGTCAAGAGGGTCCGGAGACAAGTGAATGCAGCTTGGGCAAAGGCATGCTTTTCGTGGTGCTGATTCTCATCTCTGCGGGCTGTCAAACGTTCCTCGTTGGTTTGACAGCCATGGATGTCTAGTGAGTCTAGTGAGTCTAGTGTGCTTAATCTGGTAGATCCAATGCCATAAACCCCATTAAGACTAATAACCAAAGGGGCATTCCCAATCGCAAACCCCAATTGAGGATGATCCCCGGTAATCAACAAGTTATTTTTTGGATGGATTATGACTCATAATGACCAATCTTTATCTGAAATAAATACCCTCCAGCTAATTGGCGTAGGGTTTCCTCATGGTGATCTGTAGATCGAATCCGTCAAGATTGATCTATTGTAATCCCATCAAAATCCCCTTACAATCCCATCAAAATCTCATGATAATCCCATTGAAAATCAAAGTCCCATCAAAATCCCATATATATATACTGTATATATATATATATATATACATACAGTATATAATATCTAAATCCCATGCGTTTCATGATTTTCGTCCTTTCCATTCACGGTGCGTTTGACCGTTTGACCAGGGCAGTGCTGCACCAATACTTCCACCGTTGCTTTCGCACGGGGATGCGTCTGAATGCCTCCTGCATCTCCCTGGTCTATGGCAAGTCCTTAAGGATCGCCTCCGCAGGCGCCGGTCAGGAAATCCATGGATTTGTCATAGATTAATCTGGATAATCTATGGGTAATCTATGGTTAATAATGGGATTTATATGTTATATAATGTTATATATATATATATGTATCTGATTTCACTGGATTGGTTTTGTTGGGAAAATCTTAACCGGAAACCCATGGGTTTTTACCATCAAATTGGTTGGGCTTTCCTGTAAATTTTCCCATCATCCAATTCTATGAAGATTAATCTGGATAATCTGGGTAAATTTAATCACGACCTCACTGTTCTCCCGAAGCCTGGGAATCATGGTTTATTTTAGGGAAATCATCCCCAAGGTGGCCGAACTATTCAGGTTAGTGAAATATAATTTACCCAGATTAATGTCGGTGGATTTGGTATGTTGGACTATGTTGTGCTGTTATGGACTATGAATGTTGGACCATGATTGGTGGGTACAGATCAAAAATAAAGTGGACTCTCCATTTTTTTTTTGTCAGAGGGATTTTTTTTGGGAAATTCTTGAATTTCTCCAATGTTTGGTCCCGTTGAATCCCAATCTCCATTGAAGACGGGAATGGATGGGTTGGGGGTTGCTGGGATTCTTCATAGCCAGTGGATTCCCGAAAATTCCCTAAGCAGTAAGAATTCTTAGACCGACGATTAAGAGATGGTTAGCCTCTGGTAAACATACAAATAGCTATTGAAAATAGCCATTGAAATAGTGAGTTTTCCGATTAAACATGATGGTTTTCTATCGTTTTTTGTATGTTTACCAGGTCGGGTAGCCAAGATTGTAGGCTCCATCTGCCCTGCTACGGGCCTACCCCAGGTGGAACCGAGGAGACAGGGGAAGAACAGCGCACGAGTGGAGAAATCGTGAATTTGATGGCCGTGGATTCACAACGTTTGCAGGATGCAATGACTTACATGCACACCTTGTGGAGCGGCCCATATCAGATTCCCGAGAAATTTTTGCTGAGTTTGTTTTTGAGTTGTTTTTTTAGAGATTTTTTTGAGTGGGATTTTCTCACATGTGAAATCCACTAGAAATAGGGAATCTATCGGGAAGATTAGACATTTTTTTTTAAAACATAGGCAATCTATATGTGAAATACTTGGGACATCTCCAACAAAAATCCACATTTTTTGTGGGTTCCGGATCATCAACATCATCAACATCATCAACATCATCAACATCATCAACATCCAAGGATTACCATCACCTTAATCTTCCTCCATTGGGTGGTGGGCTGGTCCATGGTGGCGGGCGTCATGGTGATGCTGCTGCAGATCCCCTTGGTGACGCTGGTGGCGCGATATATTCGACTGGCACAGAGACAATTGATGACCATCAAGGATCAGCGCATCAAGGCTGGTTGGTGGTGACTGGAACATGACTTCTATGACTTTCCACAAAAATTGGGAATGTCATTTCATCCCAACTGACAAACTCCCATGATTTTTCAGAGTAGGTTTTTCCCACCAACCAGCTATATAAGTAACTAAGTATGATAATCAACGGGATTTTGCACCATATTAAACCATACAATCACCATATATAGGGTAGGTTTTTCCCACCAACCAGGATAGGGTTTAGGGGTTTTGAGTTGTTGAGCTTGCTGCTGCGACCATGTAGCATCCCCATTAATAAACCAAGCCTAGAACCAGCAGCCAGCAATTCTTACTTGGGCAGTGATCTCACTTTGGGTTCTACCTAGAATCATCCTGAAGTAGATAGAACTAGAACGTGGAATTTTCAAACACATTATCCTTTTATTGAGGATTTCTGGAACATGCCATACTCTATCTCCAAGAGAACTATTTCAATTCACAAGTGGTTCACTCTCCGGTTTTTTTCACTCTGGCGATAGGTCACCAATGAGTCTTTTGGCTCCATCCGCTTACTGAAGATGTACGGCTGGGAGGATTCCTTCGAGTCCAGGCTGGGGATGGGATGACGAGCTGAGAGATCCAGCGGAAAGGTCGAGAAAGGTCCGAATTTTCGATCTTTTCAATGAACAAATCTTGACTTGAGGTGAACAACTCAAGAAAACAGTTAAACATAGCTAATTAGCTGCTTAGCTTTGTCTCTTTTTTTTGCAGCTCATTTTTCCCGCAACACTAGAAATCATCATTTTTTTCCATCCAGCTTGGCGACGCCTTTTTTCCGGGCGCAGGTTAGATGACATCCGGGAGAAGGAGTTGAAGCAGCTGCGAAAGTACCAGATCTCTGGATTTGCTGAATCGATCATTTTATTTTTTTTCCATTGGTTACCCAATATTTCCCAATAAACCATAGTAATCCAATAAACCATAGTATTCCAACCATTGTAATTGGGGATATCTACTGTAATTTTTTGATCAATATTTCCTGGTAAACATAGAAAAAACTGATGGGAAAGATCCACCATTAAAACAATGGGTAAATGCAATATAAATGGGGTTACCCGGCCTGGTAAACATAGAAAAAGCGACATAGAAAATGGCCCAGTCGAAATAGTGGATTTACCCAGCAACAAAAAATGGTGGATCTTTCCATAGTTACGTAAACGTTTACCAGAGGGTACCGTGATCCACCAGAAATGCACATGCGTATATTCTATGTGGAACCTGCGCCATATGCAATATATGTATATATATATGTATCGGGAGAACGTGTTTGGTCGCCCCAATGCTTTTGCTGATTAGAATGCGCTCAGTGTGTATACAGTTGAACACGAACGTTATTAGGGGGCTTGTGAAACGTGCACAACTTCTGTGACACGTGCACAACTTCTGTGAAACGTGCACAACTGCGGGGAAACGTGCACAGCATCTCTGACACGTGCACAACATCTCTGAAACGTGCACAACATCTCTGACACGTGCACAGCATCTCTGAAACGTGCACAACATCTCTGAAACGCGCACAAACACACACACACATATACATATAGAATACTTGAAAACACTGGGTGGGGGCGGTGAAACACGTTATATCCATATATATATATATATCTACACATCCATATGTACTAAAAAATATATAAACATATCTAAAAATAGAATGTATGACACATACATCTATCGCACAATACTCGAATATATCATCACATATATATATATATACATATATATATACATATACATATATATATATATATACATATATATATACATATATATATATATACATATATATATATACATATATACATATATATATATATGTTTTTTTTTCAAAACATAAAAGGTGTATTACACATTCCATGGCCTCCAAAATATGGCCAGGATTTTAAACATCGTCAGTTCGGCCATGTGGTCCACTGCTCCCATCCTCACGGCGCTGGCCACCTTCGCCGTGTACAGTGCCTTCTACGGCAACCTGACGCCGGCCACGGCCTTCACGGCGGTGTCGCTGTTCAACGTGCTGCGCTTTCCCCTGACGATGTTTCCCAACACCATCACGAGTGGCCTGGCGAAAGAGTGTGAAATTGTGAGGCCGAAATTTGTGGGAACATTTGGAGGAACATTGGGAGTGGGGGATCAAGGGACATAAGATGTTTATGGTTTTTGATCAAGGATCCCTCTGATCCCTTGATCAAATGATAATAATCAAACCATATCAAGCATATGAATGGTGAATTTTTGAAAGATGTGGGATGATTGCTTCAATGCTTGATATGGTGATGGGGATTTGAACATCAAATATAAGGATATTTAAACAAGAAACATGGTGGTAAAATTTATTGGGGATAGAATGCTTTGAAGTGGTAAAGTCTTGGAGAATGATGATAAACCATGAGATTCTTTCTGGGTGTATGATTGAATCCCAATGTTTGGGATCTTCATGGTCTAACCGGTCTAACCAGCGAGATTTTTTCTGGGATGAAACTGATGAAACCGTGAAGATTTGACCATCCATGGGAACTTAATGACAAAAATGGAACTATGGAACTGGGACAGTCTTTCAGACATATTTCTGGTTAAATCTTTACGGAATACCCTGAATACCTTCCAATCATCAAATATGGCAATGACACATATCTTATTTGTAGATGATTTTCTCATTAAAGCCTCTATTTCAAGGGAAATTCCTATAGCTATGTTTGATTACCTGAGTGTAACTAAGACAATGAAGGGAAAGTAAGTCGAATCCAATGGATTTCTCGTTTTTTATGGTCAGTTCCATGGACCCCAGGTGCTGTGGAAGCCAATGTGTCGGTGAAACGACTGGAGAAGTTCTTGTCATCTCCGGAGATCACAGGAGCAGGGCAGGGTGATTTTCATGGCGTGATCCTGGCCGAAAATCCGAGGGAATCTTTTGGGAAGACTTTTTGAATGCATCTGCTGCATAGAAACTGCATAGAAACTAGAGAACTAAATCATGAGTTGTGTTTTTTCTCCATGGACCCAGCTTATCTCCAGCTGTTTACTCACGGGCTGACATGGGCAAACTGGAAAAACCATTCACGCCCTCAAGAATCATTGTGGTTTTCTCATCAACCTCGCATGCCGTCATTGCCTTAAACAAACACTCACGTATAAAAGGCAAAAATATCATGCAACTGTCTAAGTACTACTAACATTTCCTCCCAACAACATGAACTTCTCCACCTCTCCAAAAAAAATCAAACAACTATGACAGTTACTCAGTTACTGTGGATGGAAGAAATCCTGCACCACTTGATAGATGGTCTATCCCTGTGTAATCCCATTACTTAACTGATTTCGTTGTCGTATGGCCGCGGGTCAGAACACTGGATCCCATTACTTACAGTGTTTCATAGTGACCAATAGTTACCCTGCCCGGTGCAGGATTTCGCAACCATCCACCGCATGTTGCTGTAAATGGGGATTTGTATATCTACATGTATTATAATTGTAAACACACACACACATATATATATATATCTCATTATAATATATATATATATATTAGATATGTCTTTACCAACCAGCTAACTTAAATGAACTATTGGTATCTCCACAGCTTTTGGCGCCAGGACGCCAAAACGACCCCATGGGCGAAGCGGTGGTGCTGCACGAGGCCGAGCTCGAGTGGCCCAACAGAACGGCATTGCTACGACCCATGACCTTCACAGTGCCTGCGTCGCTGGTCGCCGATTTTGGATTTTTGGGTGATTTTTATGGTTGGAATTTATCCCCTATTTTGGTTGGAAGTTGAGTTTTACTATGGTAAATGGACATCTGTTATTTTACTATAGTAAATGAATCCATAGTTTGATTTTGTGGACATCCGTTGTTTTTTATATTCTTTTTCCCCAAGGGACTGGGACCTCAACAAAGAAGCACTTCAAAAAAAAATCCAAGGCCCGTGCAGGGCCAGAGTCGAGCGCACTTGACCGTGGTGCTGGGAGCGGTCGGCACGGGGAAGTCGGGCCTTTTGCAGGTGAGAAATCGGGACGAGTTGGGAGGTAAAATCGGATTGATATATCATAGATCATATATATATATATATATGTATATACATACTGTGTATATATATATATATATGTATGTATTAATACATCAATATGTAATATATATATATATGTATATTAATATATATATGAAAGCGTCAACTTGATTTTGACAGCTAGCCAGGGGCGCTCGATCCTAAATAGAGTGGAATGAACATCAAATGACAATTTGCATTGGTCCCCAGTGTTTTACTGGTAAAAGACCATTCATGGAACCTATTTAGCGAGACTCGGGAGGAAACAACTGTTGGAAGTGTATGTGAAGTGTGCGCAGTTGATCAGAGTGGAGTCATTCCTTCCTTTCGTCGCTTCTTCTCCGACAAGAACTGTTCATCATACACAATTTTCCATTTTTGACCCAGGGACAGGAATAACCAGAATTGGCCCTTTTCATGTGGTTTTGTGAGAGGATTGGCTAACATTGCACCACCATTGACCCAATGTATGGAAGTTTCACTACGTTCCAGGTTTTGTCGAAGACTCAATGCTTCCAGAGCAGCTCTGCGTTCTGCACCCTTTACTGTTGGTGTTGCCCTAGTGATTCGGTCAAAAACATTTCTTGAATCGGAAATAAGAAGTCCCGCCGTCCTCAATGTTGAGACATCAACCTCTCGCAGTTCTACCTCATGTCCTTTCATCTCATTCCAGAAGATCCGCAAATAGGATAGCTCATCTTCCCCGTCCAATCCTGCGGCAGTTTCGGCGCAGCCCGGGGATCTACAAATTCTTTCAATTTTCGATGACTTCCAGTGAATAGGAGTGACCTTCTCTTCATAACCCTGTCGTAACTTTGTCGAAGTCATTCCCACAAAAATTCCTTCAGTTGAGTCTGTGCCATTGGGTCTGTTGGCCCAACCAGCATCTGTCCAGCAAGCAAGTTCTAGTTCTTCGTCTGGTAAAAAGGCATGAATTTTGTATTTTGTGTCTCGAGTCTTTTTGATATCCCTCACCAGTTTGTTTGTCTTCAGGAGTTCATTCACTGTTGCCACAGGGATGGAGGTGATCAAAAAGTTCACATCAGCAGAATAAAGAAAACATGTTTGTCCACATAGCCATGAAATACTACCCAGAGCACCTCGTAATTTCCGTCTCTCCTCTTCAGTGACCGGTGCGTCCGGCATGCGAGAACGATCTCGTGAAATGTAAATCTCCTCTAAATCATCAATGTATTTTGTTTGGGAAATTTCAATAGAAAAATCTTCCAGCTGATGAACTTCAATTCCGCATTGAACAAATTTTGTTTCTTCCCAGCTACCCCATTGAAAACGTTGTTGTAGTTGATCCATAAGGTATTTGTGAATAGAACATTCTGGGCTACCACCAAACATCAAATCGTCCACGTGAGAATGAACTATCGACCGCACTGTTCCTGATTTGTCCCGGAAAATCCAGCAGCATGGTTCCACTTGTAATCGAGAATATCCCAGCTCGACCAAAGACTCATGAATAGTATGATACCATTGTAATGGGGCTTGAACCAACCCATATGCTGCCTTTCGCATTTTCAATGGAGTTGCTTCTGGAACTCCCAAAGCTTCTGAAATTTCTCGAACAGGTCGGCACCAAAGTTCTTCTTCAAGAGGTTTACCTTGCAAAAAGGCGCCCGATATATCCCCTTTGGATATCCTAAACCTTTTCCAACTACAATACTGCCAAAATAATTGTCGACCAGATCTTGTAGGGGTAGGAGCTGATGTAGGACGGGAGGCATATGAAGGGTCTTGATATCCTAAAATCACCCCGCGTGCTTTGGCCTTGCGGCCACCAGGATATTCATCTCCATATTTCCATGTGAGTAGCCACCTCATTCCCAGTGTTTTGGACTCCTCAAACCCTCTTTCTCTTGCAATCTCAAAACAACCTGATTTCACAAAATTTCTCACCTCAATCTCCTTTGCTTTCTGAAACTGCTGTGCTTCTGAAGGTGTAAGAGTCCGCTCATGGACTTCAACTTGGCGTTTCTTCAATTGTGTAGCTACAAATGTTTCGGGGTTTTCAAAGAATTTCTTGATGCCCCTCCGTGATGTTGGAATTTCCCATTCTATCTCCATAGCTAAACAATTCTCCTCCTTGGCATAGAAGAGCTCGGCACCAGCCTCAGTGGAATAGTCTGCCCGAGGTTCTTTTGGTCGACGTTGATCACCTGAGCCAGATGGTTGTTCAGCATCTCTTTTGAAGCCCCTAGCTGGTTCTATCTCCATTGGACTAAAACCCTTGTGTCTCATCCGACGAGTAGGAACTGTCTCTGTAGGATCTTCATGTTCCTCTGTTGCTTCTTCCCATTGTGCGTCTGACGGGATCTCTTTGGTCACGTCTTGATACGTTGCTCTGTCTTGATGAGTTGCTAATGCCGTAATAGTCCAAGGAAGTTCGATTGGTCCAGCTAGAGATTCTACTTGTTGCTCATATGGTGATGCTTTCCGGAGTTGTTCAGGTACTGTTTTGATCAGTCTACCATTTCTGTGAAGCCAAACAATATGCCCAGGACGGAGTTCTCCAGTGTTTTCTCGCCGTGTTTCTGTCGCTAAAACCCGTGCTGGTCCAATGAATTTCCCAGTTCTTTGAGTGGTCTTCTCTTTGAGGGGTACTTGATTACGCCAGTAATAAACTAAATCTCCAGGAAGATACACTTCAGCTCGGCGTCTTCCCATTCTCAGTGCCCTTTCTGTCCTTCGAAGAGCTTGCTCTTCCAGAAATGCTTTCTCCGCCTCCAGACGCATCTCCACGTCGTTGGTGAAGCCACCATCCTGCAGCATGTCGCGGCAAATGGGAATTTGATTGTCACTCTTGAAAAACCTTCCAGCATCATCAGGAGCTTTTCCCATAATACGTTGAATAGGTGTAAACCCTCGCGCTGAATCCATGTTGTTACTTGTCCATGTTGCTCGTGAGACCAACTCTTCCATGGATAAATGTGAGAAACTTTCCGCCAACTTGTCCAAGACCCCCTTTAGGCTTTTGATAGCGCCCTCTACGATTCCAATCTGGTAGTGGGCTTCTGCGGGAATTGGAACCAGTTCAAAATTTTTCTCCAGGGCGTACTCTTCCGCCTCTGTGTTTTTCCAGGGGCCGGCAGGATCAACTCGGAGAGTTTGAGGATAACCAAAAAGACTAAACCAGTTTTCTTCCAAAACCTTCTTCATCATGACCCAAGTCGTTGGTTGACCCTTCCCCGTAGAAACCCATCGAGCCATACGAAACCGACTGCCCTCGTCGATGATGACCATCACGTGGTGCTTGTCACCTGAGTGCGGGTGGACCCATGTGGCTATGTCAGCCTGGATTCTTTCTCCCTTTTGAGGCACTGTTTCCAGGGTTGCGAATCTCCTAGGATCCATTCTTTTGCGAGCTTCACATATTGTGCATCTGAACTTTCGAGCTTCTTCCAAAACCTTTGGGGTGCTACCACGTTTTTCCAAAGCCTCAACCAATGCCTTGAGACTGCCATGACCTGTACTCTGGTGTATCTGTTGGATCTTCTTCCGGATCTCTTCTCTCTCTTGTTTCTCCTCTGGAGTTTCTCCCACTTCTTGCATCTCAGCATCAGAGTCGGCTGCCTCGACTGGATATGCTGTCTCCTGGTAGTGCATCTTCTTCTGAAGCTCCTCGACAATACGAGACCAGGTTTCATTCATGGTCAGACAGTCAATAACTCTTCTGGCAAAAGGCTCTGTGTAGCGCGCGGTGTGTGTAGTTTGACCTCCCTCGCATTTCCCTTTCCTGTGGTTGCGTTGACATCGTAAGTTCATATGTCGGAGAAGATGTGAATCTTTTGAAGCAATGGACCATCCTTTGCACAGAGCTAGTTTTCCATCTCTAGTCCTCAAACCCACTGTGCAGCCGTGGCAAGTCACCTTTTCCAATCCGTGTTGAGAGAGGAACTCAGTCATTTCTGGAAGTGACCAAGCTTCGCAACGCTCGGAAAGTTCCCAATGAATTTGGGTGTTGAGAGACTGTGCATGCTGTGCTACCTCCATTGCTCCTCTATACTGTACTCTGGCCTTGTTCTGTTTCTCTTGAAGTCTAACTTGCTGTTCAGGAGTACGTTGATTTAACCGTTGAAGAGGACAAAATGGAGCACAATCACAAGCTATCCAAAGGTGAACAGGCCGGAAGATGTCAAGCATCCTCTTGGCATGGCTAATACCTTCAGGGGTTTCCAGATCTCCCCCATTCCAAATGCTACATCGAATTGCGGAACCCTTTCCAAATCTTCTCTCCACTTCATTGCAAAGGCGGCTATCAGGAAAACAAGCTAGTTCCATCAACAGGGGTCTTTTGTGTTGAACTAGAGATTTCCATTGCTCACTGAAAGGGTTCTGCTGCACATGCCATCCCTTGACTATCTTCACTTGGGTCTCTTGAGGTAGAGGTGCTTCTGCGCATTGTTCTCTCACATCTCCTTGCGGTTCTTGTGGCTGTACTCCCCGGTGGCTTTCCGGAGTTGTGTCTCTGCCTCCTCCACCTCCGCTGCCTGCTTCTGAATCTTTTGCTTCTCGAGCTCTAGAAGAGCCCATTGACGAGCCAGTTCCTGAGCTTCCTGGTTGGGCTCTGGTGTTTCTGAGATCATGCTGAAGCTGGTGTCGCTGGCTGTGTCTTTCAGCATAGTCACACCTCTGGTTGAGATCTTGGAGTTCTTGGCGCTCTGGAGGACTTGCATTTGGGCCTGTTGCATCTCGGCCCACCGGTGAAGACGAAGGAGTCTCCAATGGGGATTGTCCGACTCGAGAGCTGTCGTCTTGATCCACTGGAGGTATGAGGGATGCTGGGAAGCCACTTGCTGATAGGTGAGATTGGCGTACTTGCCGAAAGCGACAAGCTCTTGATCGTGGGGCTCGAACTTTGCATAAATTGTTTTCTCCCCCAGTGCCACCATTTGTGCGATGGTCATGTTGTCTGTCACAGTCACATTGTGTGCTGCCATAAAGTTCACCAAGTCGGACTTCTTCCGAGCTGCCTTTCTCATCATCTTCAGTGTGTCCCCCAACTGATTCCCTTTCACTCCCTCTTCGCCTTTCTCCATCTTGATCTCTGCCCAGAAGCTTTGCAGCTGAATCACTGTCCATGAAGTCGGAACCTGGTAGCCCTCGTCCAGGATGCGCTTCACCCACTCGGCCTTGTTCTTGGGTTCCGGCATGCTGAAGGGTGACTGGATACACCGGCTGGCAAGAGGTCGAAGCTTTTGAGTCAGAAACTGTTGATGTGTATGCATGTTGTGGGGTGTGTGAGTGGAACGTTTCACAATTGAAATCCTGAGTCTCTGAACAAAAACTACAAACGCCGTCTAGACACGCTTCCAAGCTGCACACTGCACATGCTGAAAAACATGTTGTGGAAACCCCAATGCATGCACCATGTTGGTCATGCGAAAAACCCTGAGTAGAGCTCCCCTGGGCACGTGTGTCCATTTCCCCAGAGGAGCGTAGTCCCTATTCAGCTAAGTGGAAAATTGGGGTGGCGCGTTTGGTGCCCCCTTCCAGCAAATTGCCGACCAAGGGCATCAGGAGATGGCCGTTATTGGCCTCTTTCAATGGGACGACTGTGTGAGGATCCACATTGGTATACACAATTTGATTATTTTTGAAATCAACAATGGCACCAAGAGATTTCAAGGCTCGGCGAGAGACTAAAATGGGTTGGCCAGGGCTGTCATGGACATGGACTTCAAAATTGCCCTTCTTGTCTCCAACATCGATACCTACCTGTACGGTGCTGAGACAGACCTTTTTCTGGCCATTCCCAAACTTGAAGGTGGGACAGCGGCTAGGATCAACTACCATCTTGCCCTTCCCGCTCTCAGCAAGGTTGGCCTCTCTCCAAGCTTCCATCGCATCAACCGATCCCAATGAGGCTGTTGCACCTGAATCCAAGATGCCATAGGCTCCCAGGTTGAAGTTGCCTTCCTGAGTGTTCCCAAACTGCGCACTTTCTTCTTGCGTTGTCTGGTCGGGAGTGACAGTAAATGCGATCTCGGCCTCTTCTTCATGTGTCACTTGAGCTTCCTTGTTTTTCAGCGGACAGTCTCGTTGGAAGTGAGGTCCGCCACACTTGAAACAGAGAACTGACTTCTTCCCATCTCTTGTGGTAGCAGAGGATTTTTGGAAAGGCTTCGGAGGGAAAAAGCTTCGGCCAAGCTTGACTTGTCGCTGCCTCCATCTGGCTTCCTTCAGAGTAGCCTTGTGTTGGCGGATTGCCTCGAGGGCATGTTCAGCTTCTTGATCATAGGTCCAAAAAGCCTCTTGTTCTTCTTCCCCCAACATGGCTATCTCCTCTTGTGTGTAGTCCAGGTGGTATGCTTCATCCTTGCCAATGTCGCCTTCAAGAGCGACCAAGGCGCTTCCCATCCGGTGTTTGTCATGCTTGGTCAGGTCCACATCGCTCCATTGCTCCCGGAGAGCTTTTGCCACGGCCTGAGTGGTGAACTCCCCTTTGATCGCAGTGAGGATGTTGGATTTCTCCGCTGGTTCCAGACCACTGCGGTGAAGGAGAAGGAACCCCGCCAGGAACTCTGGAATGAATGGTCTTTCATCAAATTCCCATTCATGTGGAGGGTCGTATTCGGGAGATTTCCAAGACCACTGATCCCCAGACTGAGACCAATCCCATGATCTTTGCCCCCATGTCCAGTATTGGTTTTGGTGGTAAGGACCTCCTCCCTCCTCATCATCATCTTCTGCTAGCCGGCCATCTTCCCCAAAGGGATGACTGTGCTGAGAGCGCTGAGATTGACTTTCCCAGGCCAAACCCCACTGAGAAGATCTAGGTGCAGGAACTGACTTGCCCTGCTTCTCGTGCTCTCGTTGAACCCTTTGAATGGCCCTAGAGGCCTCCCACAGCTTCTCGCTGTGTCTTGCTACCCATGCTGTCATTGACTCTCCCTTCTTTCTCTCCATGTTGTAGAAAAAGGCTGTGACATGCTTGTTGGCATCTAGCAAGCTAGGTCGTTCTAACTCATCCTCCAGAAACCTCAGCAACTCATAGGCGCCCCTGGCATGACTGAGCCACTGAGGGTCCTTGAGAGTTTTCGTCCTCACCAATGTCCTGGCGACTCCGGTGAGTTCTTGAACCAACCTTGGTCCCACAAGGTATCTTTTGTGTACTTCTACTGCCATCATGTACTGTAACACTTCCTCCCTGTATGCTTGGAGCATTTCAGGAGACCCATCATAACTGGGTATTTTCCACTTTTCAGACATCTTGCCTCGCGGGCTCGAATGTCCTAGCTTTTCTTTTCCCTGGATCACTGTGTACACCTTCTAGGTTTTCACAGCAAATAGGCTCCGGCTGCCATGAAAGCGTCAACTTGATTTTGACAGCTAGCCAGGGGCGCTCGATCCTAAATAGAGTGGAATGAACATCAAATGACAATTTGCATATATATATATACAATTATATATATATTATTCATACAATTATCGGTATTCTTATGCTGATTGTTACTGTTAGTGTTGTTATTACTGATATATCTATTTCAGATTAGGATATATCTATATACTATAGAAATTATGTTTATTATCATGATTCCTGAATATGATCTATTATTATTATCATTACTATTATTATTATTATTATTATTATTATCACCATTATGATCTATTAAAGAATTCACAGATCATTATATCATAGTATATCATGATAGATCATGAATATCATGGAATCTATTTCCATTATTCTTCTACTTATTGTTATTAGTGTTGTTATTTTTTAGTCTGTTATTCCAGTAGTTTCAATCCACAAGGTCCCCTTGCCAAGTTGGGTAACTTTGGGGGCACCCCATCCGCATCTACACCGACACATCCTGGGAAGATTGACCAATCAAAGAGGCTGAAGGATTTTGGAGACCCAACAGAAACATATCAGTGATTTTGTTGGGAATTTCTTCCACTATTCGTGATGAAAAATCATATTTTGCCTGCTGAAATTCACTAAAATTAGGAGCTGCTGAACGCTCCTCATTGGTGCCAATTTAGCCGCCATTTTTGGTGAGGCACTGATTGGTGACCTGCATCCTGTCTCTGGGACATTGAAAACATCTGGCAGCATGGCTTACACCCCACAAGTGGCCTGGATTCGCAATGCAACGGTGAAGGACAACATCGTCTTCAACAGCAGGCTGGGTGCTTGGCGCTCCTGTAATGGTGTGAAATGGAGGGAGCTACCCTCTGGTAATTTAACATAGACCCTGAAAATAGCCTAGTTTTAATGGAAACTAATCTTCCAACCCCTATCTGCCAGGGTCTATGTTAATTTACCAGAGGGTACCCCTAAATCCTCCATTGATAGTTTATAGATCGGATTTTCCAGTGCAAACTATTGAGCTGTTGGGGATCTCCCATAACTATGGAAACCACCACATGGTGGAATGAGGCAAGCCAATCTCTACGATTTGTAGGTGTAGCCTCTGGTAATCAAACAGTTTGCTATGGAAAATGACCATAGATAGTTCGTTGATTTAGTCATCAAACATGGTGATTTTCCATCGTTTTTTGTTAGTTGACCAGAGGGTAATGGTTGTCAAACAGTTTGCACTGCTGTGAACAAAGACTCCACGGCGAAGCTGGCAGCGCCTCCTTCAGGTTCGAGGAGGACAAGCACCTCGCGGTTCTCAAAGCGTGCTGCCTATTGCCGGACCTGGAAACTTTGCCCAATGGCGATCAAACAGAGATTGGTGAGAAGGGTGTGAATTTGTCAGGTGAGCTGATTGAGCTGTGTGCTGAGCAAAGATCTTTGAATGGCTGTGAATGGCTCGGTAGGTTGAAAGAGACGTTCTTCATTTGGTGGAATTGGTTATGTTATGAGTGTTATGAGTCAAAAGTCAGCAGCAAAGACACATCCCGACGCAGAAATATACTTGAGGATGCATCTTAGTTAGTTAGTGACTTAGTAAATTTGCGAAACACCCCCAATTATATACATATGTATGGAATATCTCCAGTTATATATCTATATACATTATAATATATATATATATTTATATACATATATATATATATATATATCGTAATATATATATACAATTATATATATATACACACATGGATTGTATATGGGTTATGAACCACGGATCGTGGGATGGGACATCCAAGACATCCAAGGGCAATGGGTCTCCAGGGCAATGCACCATGGGCCAAGGGGTCCACCAACAATTTTTGAATCATCAAGAAAACATCCCATTTGGTGTGGGGGAATCAATTTTCACCCTACTCAAATAAATAAATAAATAAATATATATATATATTATGCAGTGTATATAATATACACATTATATATATATTATATATATATAATATATATATATATATATATTTTCCGCAGCATGTCTCATGATGTTCAACTGCGTCTCCCACCTTGTTCCGGCGCCACAGGTGGTCAAAAGCAACGCATCTCGTTGGCCCGTGCGGTCTACTCGCAGGCGGATCTCATGTTGTTGGACGACCCCTTGAGTGCGGTGGATTCCCATGTGGCACGGAAGCTGATGAAGATGTTCCAAAGTCCATTGCTTGCCAAGTCCTCCATCATCCTTTGCATCTCCGAAAGTGGTGGAAAATAGTTGGGGACGGGAAGATCCGGGATGGCCATTTATGGCCATTTTGGCATTTTTGTTGGTGGGTCACTGACTGAGAACTAGCATGAAAATTATGAAGATGGTCTGTTTGAGGAAATTCAGTTTTAAGGCTGAGTGGCTCTATTATTTTGTTGGAAACAACAGCAATTCAGGGTAGGTGTCTCAAAAACTCCAAGAACTCAAGGAGTTAAAGCCAAGATCTGAATTTGATCTTGAGAAGACATCGTGGGATATTTAGATATGGGCCAGAATTAGTCAGAATCACTGAAAAAAAGGTGTTGCAACTTGCTAGAAAGAGTTCGTGGTTTCATCAGGATCTCAACTTCATTTCGCCCCACCTTTCTGTGCGTTAGACCGTTGGACTCTTAACATTGGAGGATTTTCGGCTGCGAAATCTGAATCTCGCGAAGTATCATCCCAGGGGAATGTGAGTTGGGAGAAGTGACACCGGTGAATTTGGAAAATCATGGACTGACCTATTCTGAATGGATTGATTTAAGAACATTTGCAGGAAACCACCATTTTTTTAAGTCCCCAAACATGCGTTTTTTTACTGCAACATTTCCCTGATTCAAATTGGAAACATCTCGCCGGATGAGGAGCAGCTGAGGTACGCACCATATTCATGCCGTGCACGCAGCAGATCAGATCATTCTGCTCTCTCGTGGGGCAAAGGACAAAGACTCCACTGCGACGGGGGAGGCTGGAATGACTGCTTCGGTGATTTATTTTGTGGCTGGAAAGTGGGAAAGAAATGCCTGGAGGTGGAGAAAATCATTGTTTAAATCCCCATTAATCCCCATTAATGTTTCAGATTTTGATCCCTTTCTGTTGTGGGAGAACTGAAATCAGCAATGGCAAGGGGTTGCTACATGGTAAACAATCTGCAAAGTGCTTGTGCCAACGTGCCAAGGTGTTGCCGAGGGCTGGTCAGCCTACTAGTCTACCGCTGTCGTGGTTTATGGATTGTACATTCTAAGGCTTTCTATGCATCTATCGGCATCATCAGCATCTTGGGACTATGAACCCAATCATCAATTTGGGATTATGGGATTATGAAGCCGATCATCTTCAGCACATCAGCATCTTGGTGGCTAAAAAAAAGTGGGGTACCATCCCAGATGTGATCTTCAATCTGATGAAGTTGAAGCTTATCCAAAGATGGTCTGCGAACGGATATACAAGGGATTGTTGGAACATTTATGTACAGGAATCCCAGTTTTTTTTTTAAAGCACGGTCACTAAACATCCATGGGCTACAGCAGGTTTTCCATGGTTTTCCTGTAATTTTTTCCCTTCTCCGGGAGAGAGGTCTCATGATTTGCCCTCTGGTAACCACCATCCCCCCCCAGTCCAACCAGGGGAAATGGCCAGGAAGGAAATGGCTGGCTTCAATAGCAAGTTGTGTTTTCCCAAAAAGCCGAGGGTACCCTCTGGTAAACTAACATAACTATGGAAAATCACCATTTTCAATGGGAAAACTCACTATAAATGGCAATTTTCAATAGCTATGTTAAAGTACCAGAGGGTATCAGCAAAAAGGGCTGGACATCTCCACAAAGATCTCCACCTTGGCTGACAGGATGCGGATGATGAGATGTTGCTGCAGGCAGCATCGACTTCGGATGATGGACCCGCTGCCAAGGTGCTGGTGCTACTGTAGCCTCCAGCAAAGTAGCAGAGATATGGAACATCCACCATGAAAGTTGAGATATGGGGTATATTAACCAGTTTTTTTTCAAGAGAAATGAGGGGATTTCCGTATCGATGTTTTCGGGAAAGCCCAATGGCGTTTTTGGGATTTATCCAGAAATGGCGATGGGGATAAAACAGCGTTGGGAATTTCCGGGGATTATAAAAACCTTCTGGTTTTATGATGGCTAAAAAATCCAGCGTTAGACTCACTAGATCACTAGACAATATCCATTGGGAGGTCCATGATTTTCCCACGAAAACGGGTGGTTTTCCATTGCCAGGTTGGAATTCGAGGTGAACAGCACCTGAAATGATGCCTTGCCAATGGTTGGGGCTTGCAATAAATCGATGTGGTGTTCCTATCTCAGAGTTGGGTTGAATGTAGAGGGTTTACCTGCAGGAGGGATGCCAATTTCTGGGGTCCCGGTCGATTTTTAAAACCGCAGAAAAGGTGGCCTTCTGCGGTTCATTGCCGGAGTTTCGAGAGAAGTTCCCCAAATTGGCACTTGGGCAGCACTTTTTTTGGAGGATTCCTGGACATTTTGGTGACCTGCCAACCACCCGAAAACATGGACTGAGAAATGAGAAATGGCTGATTTTTTGGTGTTCAACAATCCAAGTTTGGGTGAGGGAGCCAATCCCAAAGCTACTCTGGTTCTTTGCTGGTTTTTGTAGTACCCGTAACCTACGATTTACTTCGTGCCTTTCTTCGCTTGCCGCGGTTTGAGAGCACACATTTTTTGGCGTCAGGATTCCTGACCCTTTGTAGATCTCACTTAGATAAGTTAGGTAACCAAGTGGGGTTGATAATTCCATATATAAACCTGGGTTACAACATGGTCATTCCCATTGCACGGCTGAAAAAAATCGTGGCTAGGCCGCTGGCGGCGCGCGTGAAGGAGAGGAGCCTTCACTGACGCGGCAGACCAGCGAGGATGTCGGGCAGCACTTCGTGCCGTCCAAAAAAGGCGATGCAGGACAGCTGGTGTCTTGGTGGATCCCAGTGGTCATTTTCATGGGAACATGGCAGCCGGTTTTTTGGGGAATATGATTTGTTTTGATGGTTCAGATGCTTCAGGGTTCAGGTTTGTGATAACCTTTTTGCTGGTTTGTGGATGATATTTTTGGATAATTAATTTTCTTGAACAAGTCCGATTTCATGTCGATGTCCTGTTCTGATGGGGACTTTATCCGGGACAATTTCTTTGCAAACTCCCCAAACATGGACAACCGGATCAGCATCCGTGACGGTAACTTGAACAATCAGCATCGCCCCAGAATTCTGTGAAAGCTGCAAGGAAAGGACAGCAGCAAGCGGCAGTTCATACCTCTGCCCATCCTTCTGCCCAGCAGTGGAACAGCACATTCCTCCCTGAACTTGGGGATTTCCCGGCCATGATTGGGCCATAAGTCCTGAGGTTATACTCACCAGTTGAAGCGCGGAGAATTGCGGTATACAGAATCATATAAATTTCAGATTTATATAAATTCGCCTAATTTCATATAAATCCTCATGAGAGGTGGTGTTTTTCCAGGGCATTTTCGTGGTGAGGTGCAAAAAGAGGAAGCTCAAGTGGGCTCAGTGGCTGCAGATGTCTACTCGACCTACATCCAAGCAGCGGGTGGTTGGTGCTTGGCCATCACCGTCTTGGTCGGGGTTCTCGTTGGACAAGGTGCGGCTACTCCCCCGGATGCGGTGGTTCTGGGTGATGTAACAGGGGGTCAAGAATTGGGCAATGCCAGAAATCAGAAAAGATGTGAGTTGAACGGATGATAAATATATATATATAAATATATATATATAATATCTATAATATATATATATATATGTATATACATATATATATATATGCAAATAATATATATATATATATATATGCAAATACATATAACATCGATGGAACTGATATAATTGCAGTTTCTCCAAACCATGGATGGTGTCGTCCAGGTCACCCAGCCCAGGCCTACAAGCTGTGGCCGGTGGATGGATCTCCTACTGGTCCGACCATTCGAAAGCTGAGAATCCGCACTACATCTCCAGTGAAGTGGGATTGATTGGCTACAGCACCTTGAGCCTGGCGGCTGCTCGGAGAATGGCCAGAAGAATCATGGACAGAATCCATGGACAGTCAGACTGTTTTCATTTATAGATGAACATGAATGAACATGAGAAACATGAGGTTAAAGACCAGGGACGGAAGAAACACACAATCAAAGGTGAATGAATTGAGAGAGAGTGAGAAAGAACATGGAAAATTCACCAACATTTGCCGTTTCTCTTAACGCCGCTTCCCCCCAATCGATACAGACCCCCATGAGACATCGTGTCAAATTCCAGGTGTTTTCTGCCAGAAAAGGGTTGTGTTTGAAAAACCATTGGGCATTGGGCTTACCACGTTTAAGAACCAACACATTAAACAAACACGCGTCTTAAAGGGATTCACCAAAACCATGCATGATTCAGCACTTTTTGGCATATCTGCATTGATGATTCTTTATTGAAAAAAACATGGAACAATCCATATCCTCTTACTGCGATTTCAGGCATATCATATCATCCCGATTTTTGGTGAACAACACATAATTGTCCCACTCCTCCCATTTCGAGATGATTCGACACAAGTTGGAATGGTGATTATAGTTGATTTGTAGTATGTTTTCCATCCATTAGATACCCCCGATGATGGAACCGAATTTCCAGGATGGTATAGAGATGATGTTTTCCCCATAATTTCCTGGTTTCCAAGGTCTTTTCGGCATCCACTGGTATCAACCTGCAAGGTGAGGCACCGTAATATTAAGTTGGCATATAAATCCCATGAACTATAGTTAATTCCCTTATAAACCATAGAATTCTCCATAATTCCAGATTCCTTTTGGTTATTTCATGTTATTTTCCCCATAGCTCCCAAGTCGGTTTCCCGGAATTCCCCCATAAAGCGAGGCATTTCTGGGCATCTTCATCACCAGCGCCTTGTTCCGGCTGACTGCGCTGAAAGCCGCGCGCAGCTTCCATCGGAGGCTGCTGGGGACCATGCTGCGCTTGCCGATGGCCTTCTTCGACACCACTCCGCTAGGCCGTGTGCTGAATCGATTTTCCAAGGAAACTGGACCAAGTGGATGGGACATTTTACCCTCTGGTAATTTGCTAGAGTTTGCGAACTGAAACATGGTCCAGTCGAAATAGTTGGTTTTCCCAGCTATAAAATGGTGGATTTTTCCATAGTTATGTAAACGTTTACCAGAGGGTATGAGATTTTCGTTTGTTTGTTGGATTTAATGGCTAAAAAAACAATTAGATCATCTTATATCCCACCAAAAGCTCTCTTTTGAATATCGATGAACCACCAAGGATATCTATACCATCGATGAGGTGCTGCAAAACATCCTCTATTCCTACTTGCAGGTGGGGTTTCAAAAGTCCTGCCATGTGATCTTGTGCTAGCTGAGTAGTTGCTAGTTCACTGCGACTCGGGACATCATGACCGGGTGGGGAAGATATCTTGCTGAGAATATGCAGGCCTCGTTCGCAGGTCATAGACTTATACTTTCTTATTTCTTCATGGCTTAGGACACCTTTCACTTTTGTGATGCAGATCTATCTATCGTTACAGTAGCTTTCAATGTCTTCCCATCCATCCATCCGTCCGTCCGTCCGTCCATCCATCCAGCTGTCCCATCTATCTGTCCAACTCTCTCTCTCTCTTGAAAGCTTATGTCACAATTTTATCTTAGCCAAATCAGCAGTTACTTTGACTCAAGGCAATCCGCTATAGTCCCCCCGAAAGGACAGAAAAATCGGTTCCTACTAAAACATGAAGTGGTAAATCTATCCTTTTTGGTACTCTCTTGGGGATTGAGATAGATGTGGAATACACACCATTTGTAGATCATTTTCCAATGGCTTCCCCATGAGTTTTCCACTCAGCTGTCGCAAAGAAGCTGACGCCCCAGGTGGTTTCAGCAGTGGTTTGCACTATGGCGGTCATTGCAACCGCTACTCCCTGGTTCTTGGTAGTGCCCTGGCAAGTCGGCCACGGGCTGCAGGATCCGGAGATTTTGACCATGGTGAACCACCTGGGCAGCCAAAGTTTGAGATTAAGAATGATTAAGATAGCAGTAGAACGATGGATAATATTTTTTGTATACAACGATTGGGTGTGCGCTCCAGCAAGCTTGGGGACTGTATTTTATTGGTTTCTATCCCATCGTGGCCATTTTTCCTTTTCGGAATGCGTAACTCAGGTGGTGTTGCCTTTGCTTCTCATCTACCGGGCCACTCAGAACTTCTATATTCCCGCGTCGCGACAGCTCAAGAGGATCGAGTCCAACTTAAGGCGCGAGTTACATCAGAACTGCAACTCTTCCATGAAAAAATAGGGAAACACACACAGCAGGTAGATTGGCGAGGGGTATTTTTTCGAGGCTCAGATTTTATGTTTTGTTTTTATAGTTGCTACTGTACTGTATCGACCCCTACAATACGTTTTGCTTCCTGAAATAGACTGTGAAACAGTGGATCAGGGCTCTCGCCCTCGACAAACCCTAATGAACCCCAATATCTGGGGCCGGGCACTATTGATGTGATCATTCGCCCATGCGTCAATATGAAGCAAAAGCCACGATTTTTGAACCAAACTTCCCACAGTCTACTCCGTATGAATCCTATGGATCAGATACCTTTCGGTTGGTTCAAATTTACAGGAACCACCTATCTTGTAAAGGGAAAAAATCCTTTGGTTTCCAGTTTCCGGCGAAAAAAAACATCCCCAAAAACCAACCCAAAAAAACTTCGCTTCGCTCAGCAGGTCCCCGATTTTCTCCCACTTCTCCGAGACTTTAGACGGCACCGCCTTGATTCGCGCCTTTGGGCAGCAGCAGATCTTCATCTCGGAGAACATGAGCCGCGTGAACAGAAACATGCGCGCCTATTACTCCAACTTTTCGTCCAACCGATGCTGGCTTTGGAACATGATTACCCTCTGGTAATTCAACGTAGCTATTGAAAATGGCCATTAATAGTGGATTTTCCCATAAAAAATGGTGATTTTCCATAGCTATGTTAGTTTACCAGAGGCTATCATGATTGGTTTGGGGACTGCGAGAATAGAAGCAGTTATAAGAATTTTTCATGATTTTTGTTGCCTGAATTTGGGATTAGATGGAATTGTACTGACTTATGAATATGAATGATATGATGTCCCCTAAAAGTTCACAGCTCTTGGGGATTTGCCAAAGAAAATCCACCAAAAGTTGTCTCAACAATTGCCAGTCGCCGACAACTAGTTCAGGATCAAACCTTGGGTTTGCCATTCCCAGGAAAAAACCTCAACTTTGATCTGTAAACATTGGGATTCAATCATTGGGCAGGCCCCCTGCCCCCTGCCCCAACAGTGAGGGGCAGCCGCAGCTGCCATGGTTCCTAAAGGATTCATCATCATCAACCATTGTTAACCATGGTTAAACATAGCATCTATAGACCATCCACCAGCATTTTCCCATAGTCATAAACCAGTATTAACCATGATGCATCATGGTTAAGCATTTTCCATTTATAGAGCATCCACCAGCATTTTCTAACCTCCACCAAGGATGGCTGGCAGTTCGTTTGGAAAGCTTCGGCAGTTTAATCACCTTCTGCGCTGGCAGTTTGGCAGTGCTTGGCCGCCATGGCATCAGCGCAGGGGTGGCGGGGCTGTCGATTTCCTACGCGCTGTCCATCACCCAAGCCTTGAATTGGGTGGTGCCTTAGCGAAGCCAAAATGTGTATCCCGAAATAGGGATTTCGATTTTTTGGTCCTCCGAAATAGGGGATTTCGTTTTTTTTGTCCTAGAATTTGGGAGAAATTTGGCGGAAGGACCTAGATTTTATGGTGAAACACTGGTTTCCAGTTCAGATTTCCTTCAAACCAATGCATTGACGAGGGACTATTCGCAGGTGCGCATGGCAGCAGACCGGGAAACCAGCATCGTGTCGGTGGAGCGCGTGCGGGAGTATCTGCGATTGGAGCTGGAACCACCACATCATTGCGAGACTTTGATTTGCAAACTTATTGATCAGGTGAAAGATGATGAATTATATATATGAATTCGACTTATCTACACATTTTAAGTAGTTAATGTGTTCATACTATTTTCAAATAACTTTCTGGCTGTTCGTCTCTGATCAATTGGATGAGTAGTGTAACGTCGATCGCCATGTTGCAGCTGGCATGCCACGAACGCCGTTGCTTTGCCCCGAAAGCGCTACTAGGATCATCCCAGGGATCGTCAGCGGTTTGTAACCATGGTTCCAAGCGATTTATCAATGGGACCCTTGAGAGACTGTAGTTCACCACTTAGGAGACGTGGGATGATCCTCGTAAATGGGTGAATAAATGGTTGAATCATGGTGAATCACAGAATTTAGGATTGAATCATTGGTTAGTACAAGTTATACACCTATCAAAACCCATGAACATTCCATATAATTCCCATGATCTACGGGGGTTCTTGAAAAAACTCGTGGGTCAATAAGAAATCCAGACCTGGGAGATTTCTTCGGTGTAAGGACAGCGACCCTCCTCCACCTTGGCCTCAATATGGCAGCATCGAATTTCAGAACGTCTTTCTGCGTTACCGTCCTGAGCTGCCCACAGTGCCAGGGCCTGGACGGAGAGGGATGGGGTCTCTTTGATCAGTGGCATAGATGTCCCAAATTCCCATTGCTTGGTTGATTAATAGATGATATAGATGATATAGATGGTATAGCAGCTCCCGGCCCAAACCTATTTTGACCAAAAGGACATCAGTGGGATCAGTGGTGTGTCTCGAGGTCCGAAAAACTTTGATACCGAGGTGTTTCCGGTGTTTCCCTGATTTTCCGATGGGATCGATGCTATCCCTAATGGCTTATTTTGATGTTATTTTCAGTGATGGGAATGTTTCAAAAACCACCGGTGCTGACATTGGGCAACTATGGGCCACGACCCTTTGTTTTAGCCCTTCAACATGAGATGTTTTCAAATATCATTGAGATGGTTTTTGATGGGTAAATCATCACACTCTTGCTAGGGACTCTCCAGTGCCAAGTTGCATTGCGACAGGGGTAGCAGTTGTATTTAATTCTATTTCCAATTTTCATCAGTCACACATTTTCCAATGTCTTATCTTATGTTCCGTTTTGATGTAGGATTTCCTTCCAATTAGTTATGCATTTTTTCCCACTGCTTACTCTGCTGGGAAGTTTTTTGAGATGCCACCAAGCAACTCTTAAGTCGTTGGTTTGTTCGCAATACTGATTCCTTGATATTATCCTCCGCCCCACGGCCATGTCTTTTGGGATGAAATCGCCATTGGGCTCCACCATTTCTCCAGCAGCTTGATTCCCTTATTCTTATGTCCCTTGATCATCCCACTCTTTTCTCACCTTGATTTGGAGATTTTTTATCGACAAAAGAAGACATATCCTAGAAAAGTCACCAAATCCCATCAAATCCCTTCAGATCCCTTTAGATTTGTCCTCCGCAAATCCCAAAAAAACACTTGGCTTTGACCGGTACCCTCTGGCAATTTAACATAGCTATTGAACATGGCCATTTATAGTGGATTTTCCCATTGAAAATGGTGATTTTCCATAGTTATGTTAAATTACCAGAGGGTACCATTTCTGCCTCGTCCCAGGTTCTGAATGGCCTCAGCCTGCAGATCAAGGCGAAGGAAAAGATCGGCATCTGCGGTCGCACCGGCGCCGGGAAGTCGTCGATCTTGAACGTGCTGCTGCGCATCGTGGATGCTGAATCGGGCTCTGTGAAGGTGAGGCTTTGGCCATGGCATGCCATGGCAATGCCCTAAAAAATGGCTGGAAGTCATGGAGATTGCAGATGAAGATGAAGATTTATGACATATGGTTGGAAGATTTTGAGGATTCTTATGGAACCCATGAGTTCTTCTGGACTATTTTGGTAAGAAATGGATGACAGCCATTGATGTTTGGTATCAAACCTAATATCAAACCTCCATGAATTTTCTGGTGCCATATGGTGCCTGAGTTTTTTCAAATATCAATTTTTATGGTGCCTCGCGACTCCTTCGAGAAGTCTCAGGTGGATGACGTTGATATCAAGACCCTGGGTCTGCATCGCCTGCGCCATAGCATCACCGTCATCCCGCAGGATCCGGTGCTGTTCTCAGGCGCCTAATTTCACCGGCAACGGGCCGTGGCAGGTAGGGTTCCCATTAAGGAACGGGCGTTTGGGGATAAGAATTGAAAGGGATTTTCAGATCATAGAATTTTGATGAATTTTGGGGATACCCATACTGCCCATACTTTATTTAAGAACATTTAAGATCTTTTGGTGAAATGCTACTCCAAATGGAAGCCCAAGGTAGCAATCTTTGCATATAATTGTGGCGGTAAGAAGGCCATAGCTCCAAATTGACAGCATCCCATTGTTATTCAGTGAGTCCATGGTTTGGGTGTTCCTCTTGCTTACCCTCTGGTAATGACTAACAGTTTGCTATAGACAATGGTCCATTTAGTTCGTTGATTTACCTATTTACGATGGTGATTTTCCATAGCTATGTTAATTTACCAAGAGGGTCAGACCAGCATGGCCATTGCTTGATTTGTCGCAAACATGGATGGTTTTGGGCTCATCATTCACCAGCAGATGATAGCCATTTGCGGGTCATTTGGCGCCCAATTTTCACCCATACTACATGTATCTGATACTGGTCGGTGGTTTGGAACCATGGAATTTAATGACTTTCCATGTATACATATATATATATGTATATATAATTATATATATATATATTGTATTATATTCTATTGGGAATAATAATTCCAACTGACGAACTCATATTGTTCAGAGGGGTGGCTCAACCACCAACCAGGATACTGTAGATGTTTTCAAATATTTTGTACCACCCAAACTGAGTTCGACTTCTTTGTGATGGGTCGAAATCACAACCAAGACGAAATTCCGCGGTTTATCCTCATTTTCTCATCAACATTGCCAACCATTGTGGGTCAATTTCCCATTTTTACACTACCCCCCAAACTATCGTTGGTTACATTCACCATCAATATTCAACAAGTTCTCAGTGTTTCTAAACCTCAAGCATTTTGGGGAGTTCTATCAAGTTCTATATCCCACCACGATTTTTTTCAACCCGCCCTAAATCTCCGATCTCCAGATGCTAGCTGCTACCCTGAATCGATGATTCATGATTTTCCCACGAACATCTCCATGGAAGTCGAATTTTTGAGATAGCTTGGGATAGTCGCTGGCATGAAATCGATAGAAACATCCCAATTCATATCGGAATGTTCCAGAAAAAACCGCTGGCATGATGAAATCGATAGAAACATCCCAATTGACAAAACCATATAAAACCTGTCCGTTGCCAGGCACCTTGCGCTTCAACCTGGACCCCCTGAGTCAGTGCTCCTCCGACGCCCAGCTCTGGCAGGCGTTGGAGCGGTCGCATCTCTCGGAGCACGTGGCGCGCCTTGCCCGGGATGCGAACGGCGCATCGGGGCTGGAGAGTGTCGTGCAGGAACAGGGGAAGAACTTCTCCTTGGGTTACTTGGATGGAAAAATGGTGGATTTTTTTTTGTGATTTTGTGTTGGATTTATTTCTAGTCATACACTTTCACTTTGTTTAACAAAAATTGTCTGTGGGATTTTGAGTGGTGGGGAGACACTTTTTTTTTTAATTTTGATTGGTGGAATTGTTTGGACTTTGGCTGTTCGAGACTCATCATCATTGGGAAAGCCAATGCGACTGGAGACGATCACCCGAATGGTGATGACTTGGGGATGGTTATCACATTATATTCTTAAACATTTTCATGATTATCTCATAATATAATGGATGATAAACCAATAATCATCAATAATATTATTGGGTTTACCGCATTATTTTGGTGATTATCTTCTTAAATACGAGTTCTATCATTACTATTACTCATTAAAAATACTTCTCATTACTTGTCATTAATTCTTATGACTTATATAGCTTATGTTTGCTTATATACCATGTCTTCTTATTCATCTTCTTCTCCCTCCTCCTCCGTCTTGTTCCTGTTCCTCCTCGTCTTTATTCTTCTTCATCTGATGTTCTTTTTCATTATTGTTAGTTATGTATAGTAAAGGCTTGCTACTTCCAATGTTACAGATGATATTGGCGAAAATCATGCGCACCTATTATCATTATCATTACACTTGCCATTGTCATTATCATTACCATTATCATTATCATTTCCATTATCATTACCATTGCCAATAATCATTACAATTACCATAATTATTATGATTATAATATACTTCCAATAGTATGATAATGATAATTACCATTACCGTAATTATTACTATCATAATGGGAGTGATGATAGCAATGATGATAATGCAGCAATTATTACCATTAAGATAGTGATCTCATTATCTACTTTTAGTACTATAATGACGATTATAATCAATGATACTATCATTATTTACTTTCATTCCTGTCAATTATCATTATCGTCATATTACTACTAATATCTATTCCTAACATCTGCTACCAATATCTATCATGATTATGGTTCTTATTATCTACAACTGAGCAACATAGTACCATCTGGGAACATGACTAACAGTTCGCCATGGAAAATCATCCATTTTTAAGAACGGTAAACCATCTATTTCGATTAGGGCCATGGCTTCCATGGCTATGTAAATGTCATAACCAAATGGCTTCATGGCAGCTGCTGTTCCAATGAGGTCAGCGTCAGCAGATGTGCCTGGCACGGGCCTTGCTTCGACAGAATGCGATTCTACTCCTCGATGAGGCCACCTCAGCAGTTGACCGAGAAACTGACGCCCTGATTCAAAACACCATCAAACAGGACCGGGATGTGGGGCTTGAAAGGCTGGGAAAAACCCACGTTTTTTTTTTGTTTTTTCGGAAAAAAAAACAGTAGAATGGGATATAACCCCGAAATACTATGGCATATTATTCCACTCATAACTGGAACTGCACTCAAACAGGACAGGATGTGGGTTGGAACGGGGCCATGAAAACTAGCAAAAATGGGCTATGTAATTGAATATGATTTAATATCATTGGATGATATTGGCTTAAGTCGGATCTACCTACCCCCACAGTTTATGGCATTGGGGTATTGAACCAATCATGATATGGGGAAGGAATTGGATGTAATCAATGATTCTAGTGGGATAGAAGCAACAGTACCGGGTTTGTCCGAAAATTGGAGATACTAAAAAAATATTGCAATTTTAGTGTTAACATGATCTGCAAAAAACATGGGATTTGTGCAACAATTTTCACACAAACCTTCCGTGGAGGAACGCCACAATTTTAGACAAATTTGGATCCAAGACCCAATAAACTTGATTGAGGTTGACCATTTGAAACCGGGACATGTTGTGTCAGCCATGTCAGCCACCAGAAAGTTTGATATTCATGACCCACCCATCAGCCACAGTCAGACCTGAAAAACTCGTTTGAGCCGAGACTTATCGCCGACAGGGCCAGGCCCGAAACAAAACCAGGAGACACATATAAATGGTTCCTTCCTAAGAAAGTCACACATGCGAAGGGTTCCTTCCCAAGGTTACTACCTATGATGATGATGATGATGATGATGATGGTGATGGTGATGGTGATGGTGATGGTGATGATGATGATGATGATGGTGATGGTGATGGTGATGATGATGATGATGATGGTGATGGTGATGGTGATGATGATGATGATGATGATGATGATGATGATGATGATGGATGATGTCGATGACGATGACAAAGTATGCTGGAGACTGCTGGAGACGGAACCCCTTCTCCGGTGCTTTACCCCTCGCGATTGCAGGAGTTTTCAGATCACACAGTCCTATGCATCGCGCATCGGATCTCCACCATCATGAGTAGCGACCGTGTCTGTGTCTTGGACGCCGGGAAGCTGGCAGAGATGGGGCCACCCTTGGAACTCATGGAGAAGGACAGTCGCTTTGCGAAGCTAGCACAGTTGGATGCGGCGTGACACATTTGTGCCGCAAAAAAACCGTGACAGCGCGGAGGAGTTGATCCATCCCCACCAGAGCATCAGGGAATGGACAAAGGGTTGATACCAACAACGATGGGTAAATCTATAGCAAGTTCTTGATGAACTCCACATTTGGGGCATGTGAAATCGGGGACATCCCTGAAAATCGCGAAATCGATGCTCTAAGTTTTTTTTTTTCAATTCTCCAACTTCTTTGGACACACATTTGCCCTGCCGGGCGTGCCGCTGTTTCAAACCTCAAGGGTTGTCAAACCCACCAGTTCTCAACGCAGCTGCCGGGAAGCTCCAGCTGAACCTGTCACCTCTTTGGGCCCTTGAGTTGGGCTTCGTTCAATTCGCTCCAACAGTTCCACACAGACACAGACACACCACACACACATATCACACATGTATATTATATATTATAATGTGTAGACATGTAATGTAATGGATATTATGTATACATGTGTAGATTATGTAGATATGTAGTAATGTAATGCAATGCAATGTATTAGTATATATATATTCTAGACGAGGGCATCCTGTGGACTTGGATCTTCTGACATGTTGTGCCGCAAGCTTTTCACGGTGTTGCGGCACGTTCAACATATTTTGATCGCGAAATCAATGATGAACTAGACTAGTGAACTAGGACCTAGGACCTAATATAGTGGTTTATGTCTCAGCTAATTCTATGATTCTATTTTTTTAGAGTTTTCCCATACTGCAGTTTTTCAGGGAGGTTAGAGGTAAAATTTAGGAGGCGATTATTCGCCAAGGTCATGCGAGCCAGGTGCACAAGGGCGTCGGTTTTTGGTCTGTCTGACAATGGGGTATATACCCTCTGGTCATTTAACGTAGCGAACTGTAGAATCACTCTTTTTAGTGGGGAAATCATGAAATTCAAATCTATTTCGATTAGGACCATCTATATTAATACCATGGCGAACTGTAACAGTCATAACCAGGTTGGGTATACCTTTTTTTCATCATCGAAACCCAGCCAGAAGTGAAATTTGAGACTCTCGAGAGATGAACCGGTGGATGAAACTGGGGATTTCCCCAAAAAATCTGTTAATCTATGGTTAATCTATGGTTAATCTATGGTTAATAATGGGATTTATATGATATATATATATATATAGGGTAAATTTAATCACGACCTCACTGTTCTCCCGAAGCCTGGAATCATGGTTTATTTTAGGGGAATCATCCCCAAATGGCCTTAATAGCCTGAATTCAGGTTAGTGAAATATTATAATTTACCCAGATTTACCCAGATAGAATGTCTGTGGAGATCTTATTGAACAATTGAGGTATCAACCTGCTTGTTCACCCACCCCACCCTGGCAATGAGTTGTCTCCGGTATCCCACGTATAATGCAATATCTGTGAGTTTTGAAAGCTTATCATATGTTATCACCCGTTTTGAATTAGATATATCTCCCTGGTAACCGCAAATTTCGCATCCACTAGTTTGGTTTGCAATCATCCCGTTTTTGGAAATTTGGTTCCAAAAAAAGGGGAAACAGTGGCAGGAAACGATTCCCAAACCATGTCGGATCGGTCACCGGGTTACCATATTCTGCATTTGGAGGTTTCCTGAGTCATGGGGGAACCCCCATTTATCATCCATTAAAAAATGGGATTTTCCCGGAAATAAACCATATCAGCTATTGGGGTACCTCCATTTTAGGAAACCCCAATATATATATATATATAATAATAATAATATTATCTATAACATACAGATACACACAAGCACAGAATATATTTCCAGTCTGATTCACTGTACATATTAGAAATGTACACTGACGATCACCAGTTGCTGGTTTCCCAACGGTCCAAGAGAAGGTGTTTAATACCCTGCGGTTTCATTCTAGACCAAAAAAAAACAAATCTAAAAACAGAATGGGTATATCCCCTTACATAGACCTTCTATATTGTAGGTACCTCCAATAAAAACAGAATGGGTACTTCCAATGTGTCGATGATTTTCCCAGAAAAAAACCTCGATGTTTTTTGGGGATTTTCCAGCCAGCCTCCTCTGAGAGGCTAAGTCATTTTCTAGATATTTTCCCAACCAGTCGGCAGATTTTCCATTGCCAGGTGTGAGAAAATCCTTGAGTGGATATAAACCATGTGGCTGTAATGTTCGGATTACAGCAGTTAGACATTCTTATGTTGAGCAAGATCTACGAGCTAGTTACATCAACAAACTTCAAAAAACCTCCAGTAAACTAACATAGCGATGGAAATCCACCATGAAACTAGATCATTTCCGACTGAGAAACCCATAGATTTCCATCGCTTTTTGTATGTCTAGAGGGCCTTAATAATCCCATCGTTCATATTAAACAAGCCATTGGTGAAAGAAATGTCGCCAGTGATTTTCGGAACAACAACTCCCCGTTCCAACACAACGTTTTAACACAACGGTAAACCTGGGGGGGATCAAATCCCTTAGATGGTGTTTGTATCGCCTAAATTACAGGGAAAGGGGATCATGGGTATCCACAGATCCAGGTGCCTGATCTGCCTGATCCTCTTGGCCCTGCCGTGGAAGATTCGTGCGCACGCGAGGTAGGGGCCAAGGGTGAGGTGTGCCGAAAAATTGTCCTTTCTTGGGTCTAGATCAACTTTTTGTTTATTTTTTTGCAGGTTATATATATATATTTGTATAAATGCTGAAGGATAATTTTGTTGCTCACAACAGGTATTGCCATGTTATATTCTACTGTAACTTGTCGATAAAACTTTCAAACATGTGAAAGATATTGGTGTGGTTCGACACTTCACGCTCATGCTGCTCGTGATCACATCGTAAATCGTCATGATGTATTTGATATTGGAGTCTTTATTGTATGAATATCCATTTGGGGGTTTCTTAAAATGGGGGATCCCCAAAACCATGGGTTTCAATACTAAAATATCTAAAATGTCGAAATTTGGACGATTTGGGGGTACCCCCCACTTTAGGAAATCTCCATTTGAAGCAGGCTTGGGTTGTATTGGATGCATACGGCTGACGGTTTTCTTACCCATTCCAGCTGAATCATCCCGCTATAAATGGGGGTATACCCATGAACTAAATGACATCTCAACTGTGACGAAATTAACACTCACCAACTATGAAATGGGGGTATACCAACTAAATGACATGGTCTCAACTATAGTGAAATGGGGTATCAAAAATAACGCCACCTTATGTCCCCATCACCATCATCTGCGCTCAGTTTGCGTGGAAGATTGAGATCGTCCGGATCCTGGCCTGGGCTGTTTCATTGGGAGCAAAAAAATGGTTCAGATCTCCAATCCATGGTACCCCAAGAAAAATCATGGTTTATACATATGTTTATACTGGAAAATCCCAAAGATCACTGGGGGTACCCCCATGACGAATCGGAAAGCCCGGCCTTTGGGATGTACCCCGCTAATCCAACCACCGATCCATGGGAAGCAAGGCCCTGTCATTGTCAAATCGACAACAAGCACTGGCGCAAAGCATCCAGGAGGGCGCGGAACGAGTCATGGCCTTTAATGGCATCATCCATCATCTGTAAAGCCATGTAAAGCCCATGGTTTACCATTGATGATTCCATGGAGTAAAGCCATGACCTATTCCTTCAGAAAACGGGTTCGCCTGGGCATCAGCCCATAGAAATTCCTCTGGGCAGCGCCTTTTTTGGAGCCAGGACTGAGCCGAAATGTCTCTTCATCGACCTGGGTGCTGGTGCTGGTAGCGATCTCGAGGCGGCCCTGAAATTCGCTTGGATGATTTTTCCATGGGACAATGGTGGTTAAGGATGATGATTAGGGATGGTTAAGGAAGGTTAATGGTAAAGAATCACTGGGGTGGGTAAGTGGGTATACCATGGTATACCCTCCCTCGAACATGGCTGACGGACAAATCCCGAACTAAAACGAGGTTTGGCTCGCTGGGAACGTCATCGAACTATTGCTGCAGGATGTTCCAGCGAGGCATGTGACTGACCAGAAGATATACGCCACGACTGACCATTCGGCTGGATAGATTCCACTTCCAGTGGCTTAGGTCACTATATGGGCCATAATGTCAACCCCGGATTAATAATGATTAATAAACCATGTTTTATTAATTAGGGGGGTACTCCTCCAATAGTCATAATCTAATACTTAAATGGTACCCTCCCAATCAAACAGCCTAGGGGTTTATTAATCCAGGGTTGACATTACACATATAATTTTACTCTGGTAGATCTAAGTAGCAACCAGCCGGTCAGCCATGTTCCTTCAGTTCCTTCAGTTCCTTCATCCCGGCTTGAAACCAACCCATTTGGCATCTACTCACACGGATGTATTCCCAATTACGATATACATGACCCATCATAGTCTCACTTAATGTATTTCTCAATCATGCTTGCTGTGACGATTATCTTTGTTGTTCGTTATTTGCTGTTGATGGATTATATTAGATATTTTCTTTTTTTTTAAATATATGATCTATGATCGATTATTTGTTATACATCAAGTAGTATCATATAATATCATATATATATATATACGTACATATATATATATGTATTTATTAATATATATATAATTATATATATGTCTACTATTCTATTATATCTATGATCTATTAACTAGTAACTCATATATATATATAGTAATAACATATCCATATTCCCGCACCATCTCCCCTGCCAGGCCTTTGCGCAAGACAAATTTGGACCGCTGAAGAACTGCCCCAGTGGCGGCGACTGGGAAGCCATCCTCGTCGAGGCCGAAATGGCTTGGAAGTCCCAAGAAGTGGGGCATGTTCTTCTACGAAAAGTAGGGCTTTAACCAGCTTTATATAAGCATGAATTTAATCTTTAAGCATGAAAAAATAGGGGTTGAACCAGGTTTGGGAAAAACAAAAGAGCTTAAGCATTGAACATAGGGATTTACGCCTATTGTGGCCGACAAAAATTGGGATTCAACTAGCGACAAGTGGATCATTCAGGCTAGTGAGTGGAGAACAAGTAGGGGTTGGGA